CATACTTGTATATGATTGCATTTCGACGTACTGGGCGAAATTCCTCTCCAAAAATACTTCTCCCTCATATGCATGCATGCGGACGTCACGAATCGAGCTGATCCCGATTCCACACGCAAGCCATGCGTTTTGCAAAAAACCCTCGGATGTAAGAGGACGTGCGTGCATCCGTCAACGCGCCCAAATATCGACGCAAAGGTCGCAAGGGACGGAAAAACGTGAAACGTCCTTTAGACAGGCGGACTGAATTTTAAGTGCAGCTATAATGAAAGCATTTAAACACTTTAGAAGTATTTTGTATTTTCATCTAAAATATATATTTCGCTAATCAAGTATTCAGATCACGGAAAAATAGGAAATAAAATCTGGTCTCATCGCGTCCTCACGCCGCGAGTAGATCTACAGATATTACCAATTGGGTGCCTGCGAAAGAGCGCTGGTGGCGAGGTCATTCCGAGCGACGTGGATCGACGGTTCACCGCCTGACTTCCACGCGATTCCCCGTTGCAGATGCTTTCTTATGGAGGTGGGATTAGGGGTGATTTGGATGGGGTTTCATCGTCGTGTCCCTGTCACGCAGCTCGCGAGCAAATATTGCTTTTTGGTGGGAAATGAATGGGCGTCTTCGCGATGACTTACCTCGTACATTTTTTTTAATTCATTCGGGAGTTTTTTTTTTTGTTACTACTATTCGCACATGCAGCCGGCACTGCGATTGTAACTTCTGCCGTGAACTTCGATGAGGTTGTTGAAAGGGTTTCTTCGAGCAAAAATCCTTTCTGTGACGTGAGACGGCGAGCTGAAATCCTTCAAAAATGTCAAGTTATGCACGAGGGACCATGCAAGTTGAAAATCTGTCTCCAAGTTTCAGCCTCGATGGTCATGGAAAGTCTAATCATATGAAAGCTTATCTTGGAAAAAAAAAGTAAAGTCAGTAATTGGACATCATCAATAACTCTATCAACGTTGAAAAAATATAGTTTTCCCCCAATTTGAATTAAATAAAAAATAAACCATGATCCCAAGGTTTTCACTTTAATCAGATATTAGTCCAACGTCCATCATGGTAGATGAGTCGTTTCATGAAAAAGTAAACTTCATTGAGTTGAAATATGCATGAAAATGAACACATGAAGTTTCATGAAAAACAGCCTGCAGGACATGGATATCATTTGAGATTACTTTGAAGGCTTCTTAGATTGAAAACGGCCATTTTGACGTGCAGAGGAATCGAATGGCGTTAAATTCGAATTGCTCAATACTGAACTACATTTTTGTGACTTTCTCCTTACGTCTTTTCATTGAAACTGGACACAACTGGCAAAAATCCATATTCTTATGTTACCTTCAAATAAATTAATCTCAAAAAGGCAGAGTTTCTGATTCCCAAATGTGCAAAAATTAATTAGCTAGAAAATACAATTGGACAATGATTTCAGAAGCAACAGGCTTCCTGCTAAGCTTATACTGCGAATCTGCTTCAGACATGAACCAAAATGGGAATTGTCCAAAAACTTATATATACTGCAATAGAGGCTTTGATTAAAATATGCAGTTCACAAAATTGGACAAACTCATGCCCATTATAGGTACAAATTTACTAAAAGCTGAAGAACTGAAGATCCAAAGGTCATGCACACTGTACCTTTTAGTAAAGATCTAACATGCAGTTTGCAAAGAAATGCTGATGGCAACAAGCATCAAAGCAGTTACTCATGATGGATGGTCTGCAAGTCACACCTGAAATCAAAGGTGAATTGTTGATGGTGTCAAACTTCAGCACTGCAAGAGGAGAGGCAGAGTCTGCAAGTTACTCTTCCCTTTTCGTTCATTCATAATGTGTACACAGCAAGGACATATTTGGGGGGTTCAAACCCTCCCAAAATATCTTTGTCTATATCTTAGGTAACAAAAAGACAGACACAATGGGATAATGTTCCTGTAGAGAAGCCACATGAAGCATTTTACAGGAGAGGACTATATCTGCCATTCTTCGATCGTGTTAGGATGCAGCTGAGGGAGGTTCTCCAAACATAAACATCTTATCAGTTCTTTGCAGGTGCCCAGTTTAAAATCCCAGCTGGAATATTCCAGCTGGACCAAAGCTGTAAATTCGGACCATTGCCAGCTGGCAAAGAACTGGAAAACAGTAGGTACCAGTTGTTTCTTAGCTGGAATTTTCCAACTGGAATGCAGATGGATTTAATAGCGGTTTCCAGCTAGAAATTTTTTAGTTGGAATTTTATAGAAAGAACCCTACAGCTGGAATGTAGCTAAATTTACAGTTTAAAATCAGCTGTTCCTGTTGATGGACCTGCAACAAAAATAGTCAAAGAAAAGATTCTCATTCAGTTAGTTATTTTGCAATTAGGAAGAACTCTGGAGTTGACTATTTTCCAGCTGTTACCCAGTTGGAATGGGTCCGAATTTACAGCTGGAGTCCAGCTGTAAATTATAACTGTTTCCAGCTGGGATTTTAAACTGGGTGGTCCCAAAATTTTGCATCTGTTGCGAGCCTCCAGATCTGAAGGAATGCATTGAATATTATGCTGCACTTCTGCCTGAACCAAAAGCATTCGCAGCTGAGTCCACGATTTGGAAAGCCAAGTGGTTGAAGATAGCGGAAGCCAGCAGACCAGGAACAACTCTGGAAGCTTGTGGCGAGTGTAGTTCAGAGTTTTATCCCAACATAAACAAGCTTCTCAAGGTGCTAGTAACACTGGCAATTTCCACTTTGACATCCAAAAGGTCATTTTCGACCTTCAAGTGTCTCAAAACCTACCTGTGGAATTCAACAAGAGAGAACTGCCTAACAGGACTTGCACTGCTGAACATTCCTGAACTAACCAAAACTGGGACTTCTCCTTTCACTCCTTCAGTCTTGAGGAGTTCCACATTTCCAGACTTCTACAATTTTTAGAATAGGTTTATGTTGTATTTTTTGTAGGCAGTGATCTTCAGCATTAAAAATACAGGAAGATAGAAAAGACTAAGTACTGCGCTATCTTTAATAGTTTGACTTATTAAACACCGCAACTTACAAGAAAATCCAGTTATGCCACAAAGACTCACGACAAGTATTAGAAAAATAGCCACAGCATGTTCGCAAGAACTCATCCCCCCCCCCTAAAATGAAATCCTAGATACGGCCCTGGTACTCAGGGCTCAGTATAAGTAGGGTAACTAGCTATCTGTTCTAGAACTTCAACACCATGATTCACCTCTGCCATGAAGGGCAAGGGTCTGGCAAAACAGGAAACCACACATACACGCAGCATTTCCCGAGGAAATCATCCATTAGGAAACATGTTACATCACAAAAATTGTTGCGGCAAAAACTTCAAAACAAATTGATTAGCTGTATCTATTGGGTTGGAAAGAAAGTCTTGCAACACTTTCTAAAACTATTTATAAAAATTTTCAAAGGAATGATGGGCGGGGCTTTGCATTTGTTGGAATGTTTTCGAAGCTTCTGCCCTCGGGGTATATAAGGCGGCTTCTGCCATGAGTTGGCAGCCATGGCTCCGATCGAACGAGCAACTCTTCGCCCCATCGTCTACGACGAGTTCCTCCAAGGACACTCTGCGAGAGCCGCCGCGGACAACATCTGCGCTACATTCGAGGGCAACGTCGTCCACTATTCCACGGTGTCTCGATGGTCGAAACGCTTGGAATCTGGCGACACGACCTTCGGAGATCGACCGCGCTCAGGACGTCCATCGACAGTCGATGACGAAGCCCTGCGGAACGCCCTCGACGCGAAGCCGAACGCCACCACTCGCGAATCGGCGACTACACTTGGAGTCACTCATATGGCCATCGGCAACCATCCGAACGACCTCGGCTATCGGAAGGTTTACTCGACATGCGTCCCTCATCGGCTCGGCGACTCTGACGAAGCAAGCCGTGTCGGTGTCTGCGAATCACTGCTCCTTCGTCCGCACAGAAAGGACCTTCTGAAGGAAATCGTTACTGGAGATGAGAGCTGGATCCTCGACGTCGACCATACTCGCAAGAGTCCGTGGCTTCCACGAGGAGAATTGCCGCCACAAGAACCGAAACCAGGGTTCCACGAGAAGAAGGTTCTTCTCTGCTGTCGGTGGGATTCAGAAGGAATGTTGTACTATGAGCTCCTGCCAACCGGTACCACCGTGACTGCCGTCGTCTACGCTGCTCGACTTCAGAAGTTGGCTGGCGTCATTCAAAAAGAGCGTCTCAAACGCGACAAAGTTCTCCTTCTGCATGACAACGCTCGTCCATGTGTTGCGAAGATGACTCGCCAGACGATTTCGGAACCGGGCTGGGAAGTTTTACCATCCCGCGTATTCTCCGGACTTGGCCCCTTCCGACTATCACTCGTTCCGGGCCCTCAAGAATCACCTGCGGGACAAGGCACAAGACGATCGAGCACAGCTCGAAAATGATGTCGGCCGTTTCTTCGCTTCGCAATCGCCAGAGTTTTGGGCAAAGGGCATCGAGCAGTTACCCGTGCGTTGGGAACATGTCATAGACAACAATGGTCATTACATTGTAGACTGAAATTGCATTTCAATGAAGTTATAAAATTTTGAAAAATTTGCAGTGTTGCTAGACTTTCTTTCCAACCCAATATTTAAGTTTTCCAGTTCATGACTCACTTCATTAGAATTCCATGTGTAGAAAAAAAAAAGCCAAAGTTAGACAAATGGGGTTCAATGGTTAAACTTTACACTATATGGTCATACTTTGGCATAAGTGTGAAATATGGTTCAGGTACCATATACCTCAATGCCTTCTAGTGCAGGTTTCTCTGAACATCACTGCCATGGATAGGAGAGATGAAGTTAACAAGGCAAAATTAGGGAAATTTCTTTGTCTTGGGAATGGTATTCCAGGGCAGTGTCAAATTGACAGAACCAGGTAAACCAGGACATCAGTCCACCCTAGGCAGGGAATGTCTGCTCTATATGCTGAAGTGTATGTCCAAATCGCATCTGCAATGGATGAACAAGAAAAGGAGGCATGGCTGAGGACTTGTTTATTCTAATGCCCCTGATCCAACCAATGTCATGAACAACATACCACTGCATTATTCACAAGATATCCACCATCAGGCTTCACTGGTCTCCACCTATTATTCCCATTAAGAGCTTCTTAAATTTCCTGGCAGCCAAATCATATATACAGAATAGTTGCCAGTCACAACTTTCCCAATTTTAGCTATTACACATGCCCAAATTCTGGCCAATGTAATGAATAAAACCACTGTCTTCCGATTGCACATGATAGAATACACACTGACCAGATCTACAATGAACATTTCAAAAGAAAGGGAAACCATACATCACAATCGAACGCATGCTCATACGAAACTAAAAATATGTAAAAAGAATGGAGACCTGCAGCACAACCAATACCTCTTTGTATCAAATGGATTCCTATATTGAAGATATGGGCAGTGAGGCATAATACACATAAGCAAAGATTTGAAAGAGGAGAATGAAAAGTTGTTCATGAGACAAAGCATGACACAGCAATTTTTTTTCCCAGCACAGAGCAGCACTACAAATGCCAACGGGACGATGCACGACCCAAAAGCCACAATGACAGGGGCTGGGAGGTAAAGGGACTAGGCAAGAGAGGTCAAACCAAAGCACACACTACAACTGCGACCTCACACTGGACTTTCCAGTGGACATTTCTAGTCAAGCCTCGCACACTTTAAGAGCATCGTCGCGCTCCTCGCACAACTCCTTTGCGGTGAGATCCATCTTGGCTCGAGCAAAATCATCAACTGGCAGACCCTGAAACATCATAAATGGTGAGCTGATAAATGAGATGGATGGAGAAAGCAAACAGTAAAACCTGAAGAGGAATAAGGTACATAGCCCTAGCAAGGAATATGGCCAGTAACCATACCTGAACAATTTTCCATTGCCCATTCTGGATGGTAACTGGGAAGGAATACATGACATCCTTGGCAACCCCATAGGAGCCATCAGAATAGATACCCATAGATGCCCATTTCCCCTCTGGAGTGCCTTGGAACCAATCTCTCATGTGATCACAGGCCGCCTTGGCAGCAGACATGGCCGATGACAACTTCCTGGCTGCTATCACTGCTGCACCACGCTTTTGCACAGTCTGGAGAATGAAAACCCCATGGAGGTCATATTGAAGAGCCAGGCCCAAGGGTCAGCTATACCATACTATGATCATAGGGATGACTTAAATAGACTGGCATATGTGGTTTTTTTCCCACTCTGTGTATTTGCTTCCATATTTAATCAATGCATAGATACAAATGCAAATTCATGAAGGCTCACACTCTCAAAGGCAAGGAAATAAAACTTTGGAATATGAAACTAGCCCATAAAAACACAAATGAAAAACATGAGCAGCTACAATTTCTCACTATTCCCCAACTTTTCATCTACCTCTGTACAGGCCCAGCAAATATCACCTAATGGATGAATTGTGTCTTAAAGTTAGTTCACTGAAACTTCACTTTAACATAGAACACTTGAGATCTCACAAGTAGCACACCTCAGGCTTGAAACAAGTTTGTTGGGACTTCAAAAAAAATTGAGCTGGTAACATTCATTCAGGTCAGTCCCAGTGTTTTAGACTTTCAGGACATTTCAGTATCAGGTATTAGAGGCTCACAAAGAATAAACTCCAAGCTCATGTCAAGTGGATTCTATTGGTAGTTAAAAATCAGTTCTGTTGTTTTTCCTCTAATTTGCATCTAAGCTACACTGACACAGCATGATCAATAAATAATTATTTGACCATCCCACAGATTGGGTCCTTGCCAAAAAAGTGGATGGAGACCACAGTGGCACCTCTACAAGATCACTCAAACTCTTGCATATCAATATATTGGCAACAGATGCTGAGAAGGACTTACACTGATGAAATCACCCTTGAGCCAGGTCTCATCATTGATGGCATCATAGACTTTCTTCTCAGATCCTCCAATCACAACTGTGGCATGAGTTACATCAGGGAACTGGGTTGATGAATGGTTACCCCAGATGACAACATTCTTCACATGATCAATGGGAACCTTGAGCCTCCCAGCAATCTAAGGGAACAAGAACTCACATGAGATTCACAAAATTAAAACAATTTTTATTTTGTGATTGTTAAGAAGAAAGTCTTTCATGCAACTAGCATACAAATTTTAGCAACCTGTGCTTGTCCTCTGTTTTGGTCCAGCCTAGTCATGGCAGAGAAGTTTTCCTTGGGAATAGAGGGTGCATACTTGGAGCAAATCAGAGCATTTGTGTTTGCCGGATTCCCCACCACCAGCACCTTCACATTCTTCTTAGCATGTTTATCCAATGCCTTACCCTGCAAATAAACAGCAGCAATTAACAGCTGTTGCAGAAATGGGAAAAGTGAATAGTTATGAGTAGTAGTTATGTGTCTGGAAAGTAACCTGTCACAAAAGCTGATCACAAAAATGAAAGGATGAAAGAAGATAAGAAAGAAAAGGAAAATTCTATACTGCAGAGAAATAAGGCATGTCTGACACACTATCTCATCAGCCCATCTTTCACAAAAAGAAGATAATGAAATCCATTTGAAAGTTTGAGAGCATTATTGCACCATTCAACTTCCTTGAAATATACTTCAATACAAACTACAGTCAACTCATCAATTTGAACATCATGAGACAGGTAATTTTGCCAAGATAAAATACCACTCCACTCATTTTAACTTGCCTGTACAAATGGGAATCATTGTCTCAGTTCTTTTAACTATTCATATATAAAAAAAATCCTGAAAATATTTATGCTTTGACACACGCTATCACTTGCTACCTATGATGAATCACACAGACAAGGCTTACTCAGGCATGGAGAGAGGTAATAAAAACTTGCTGAGGTTCAAATGACGACAGAATAGACTAGCTGGAGTTAAGGATAAGGGCTGCTAAGAGTGAACATCTCAGTGACAAGAGTAATACATTTTTCTTTTTCCCCCCCTTTTTCTTAATTATTGACACCAGGGAAGTGGAGACATGAAAATGGCAAAGGGAACACTTTTTGCTTCAACTTCAATCTCTTCTGCTAGCAAGTCCAAATTAATGGAGAGAAAGGCGAGGGGATGAGAGAACACATCCACATCAATGGCAACTAAGGAATTATGTCAACTGAGTTTAACTGAGAAATGCAATGCACATCCCCTGGATACCTGCCAAGACCATTCCTTTTGTCCAACTTAACCTTTTGTTGGTGCAGACAACTTTTTACATACAACTTTTCATAACATTTGAGGGTATACACCAGGGAAAGTGTTGTGCCAGATTACTAATATTCAAATAAAATAGTTAACTGAAAATTACAGGAAGGTTAATGAATGGCTTTAGACAGTTGAGTATGAAACCCTCCAAGTTGATTCAGACACTCATGTAGCGGCATCATTCATCTGGAAAAATATCAACCTCTAATTTAAAAATATAATATAGCATGTGATTGAGGCCAATCAGTAGGCTATTGAATTAGTGCCAATTACTGCAAACTTGAGATAAAGGCTCTCATTTACTACCTCATGATCAACTCAAAGACCAACATTTATGACATTCAAAAGGATGAACTGACCTGTGACTTGAAGATCTTAACATTTGCAGCAAGAAGATCTTTTCTTTCCATGCCTTCCTTTCGTGGCATGGCTCCTACAAGGAATGCTGCATCAATGTCCTTGAAAGCCACATCCTCGTCAGCTGTTGCCACAATGCCTTTAAAAGGGATCAATCTTGTCATGCATCCTCATCAAGTCAGTGAGATTTTTTAGAGACAATTTATGCAAATCATACCTCGAACAAGGGGAAGAGCACAGTCATTGAGTTCCATGACAACTCCTTCCATGACGGCCATCATTGGAGGAATATCAAGCATAATGAGGGTAAGAGGTTGATTTGGTCCAAAGACATCTCCCTTCCCCACCATGTAGAGTAGGGAATAAGCGATCTGTCCGGCAGCTCCAGTGATCAGGACTCTCAGTGGCTCAGACTGTAACATGAGAAAGAAAAAGGAGGGAAAGGATTGCAGTTATACCTGAAATGACAATTCGTGGTCTCGGCTTATAAAGGCATAAGCCTCAAATAGCCCTGTATCAATGACGAGTTGGGCTGATCGAGTTCGTCATTCAGGCCAGTGAACTCACCATGGTTAAGGATGCTTGAGTTTAACAGGCTCTCGTTGCTCTTTGCACAGAGTGCGTCAAAGTAAGAATGACTTGGATCGGGAGGACACGGAAGGACGTTCACGGCAGTGACGTGCTCGGGCACCGACAGGACTGAAGGACACTCTTCAAGGAGGTTGACAGTGGTGCGATTTTTGCGTCACGCTCTCGCAACTCATCAGGCTTTCTTGCAGCATCAGGATGTGATGTTCTCACATAAGATAGCTGAATAGTCAGGATTAGGAGATTAAGGAAATTTAAATATAACATTTGGAATTCGAATCTTGTAGAGGGGAGTTTCGGGAAATATTTAGTTTCTACTTTTGCGGCATTGATTTTCGCAATATGGCGCTTCGCATGGCTCCATTGGTTATGGTTTTGTATGATACTCATACTTACTTTATTTTCATGAAAGACATTTCCACAGGGTCATCACGAGCGAGGACTAAAATATATGATTAATGCATAAGCGAGCGTCAATTAAAAGTCTGCAACAACAGCCATGTCCCACTGGTCAAAACTAAAAGATACAAACATTTAACACCTTTCAGTCAGACAAACTAAAGGTTGGGATGTGGTCAAGAATAATCAAATAATTCTGGCGAGCGTCAAAGGGAGAGATTAATGATTAATAAGCAATGCCTCTAGTCATCTTTTCGTGGAATATATGGAGGCTACTGAGCCATAGTCTAGAGGTAACAAATGAGAGGATACCATAGTGCTCTAAGTGTCTGAATGTTGGACTTATGCTTTATTCAAAATTCTAACAGCTTCGGTAACTCATGCTTTTTTGCTGGAGAGAAAGCATTGAGGCTATCTTTCAGATACAATCTGTGACTGCAGACTTAAGAGGTGACTAGTTGTGGGAGGGTGTATACATTCAAAAGTACATTTTCTGTAGTTTTTGTGCTTCTCTTTCCAAGTGATTCAAGTGGCTTATTTCCGAATGTATAGAGCATGAGAAATGTCTTGTTTATTTTAGAAACTCCCTAGTGAGAATGCAATACCTTGAGTGTGATTAAAATATTGTGCTGTAGATTTCAATTACTTCTGTTTGTGTGAATGTGTTGTTGAATAGTAATACATAATATACTGCTCCATTCAGCTTATGGCAAACACTTTGAATGTGAGACTCAAGAGAGGTTTTCACGAAGATTCAAGCCCAGAAGTTTTGTCTCAATAAAATTTGTATCTATATAAATTGGAGCTACAAGTGAACCAATTCTTTTCATTTATCAATGCTAATTTTCCAGCAACCTTCCAGTTGCCTCCAGTTCAGTTCAGATTTATTAGTCAACATAGAGAAGTTGCCTTCACAAGAGTGCTAATCTAGAAAGTCCAGTATGTTGTGTATGATTTTACAGCTACGTGTGTTTGCAGATGACACCAGGCCATCATTTTCTTAATAGGGACAATAAGATTTCGAGGATAAGAAAACTTTATGTCCAAATTTTCGTTTTTTTTGCAGCTTTGTGCACTTTGAAATCCTTTATGGAAGGTGTGAATTGGCATTACATTTCAGGAAGAGGCCCATATCCCTTTTAATATTGGAGAATCCTGCAATCCTAATATAAGACATGAAGCAGATTTTGATACATGTTTCTTTCTTTTTAAACTCAGCCTTTTTAATTTGGCAACATATGAGTTTTCAACAGGAAGAAACCTAGTGCTAAATGTATTGCATATTTCCCCTATAGCAGTGGTTGGCAACAGGCAGCATTTGGCCAGATCTGGCCAATGGGAGTCCTCCCTCTGGCCTGCGAAGGTCCAGCTATTGCCCATTACAGTCTGACAGTAGATGTTCAGCTACACATTAGACTTTCATTAAAAATTTAAATTTAAATGATGCTTGATATTTGTTGGCCCAGGAACTTGCAGCATTCTGCTATCTGGCCCCCTGTGAATTCAGTTGCCAACCACTGCTCAAATGCTACACATATAAGTTTCATCCCAGGAGTACTCTATGACAGAATTGGTAAAACCTATCAATTTGCTCTGACTGACTATTTAACAGTCAAAGTTTTTGTCTTAATCCTGAAAAAATTTGACTATTTCCTGACATTAAGTTTTCATTAAAAAAAAAATAAAATTCTCAATGCTGTCAGGGATGTTACTTCAATGGGTGCTACAACAGATGCAAGGCATGTTTTTCACAAAGTTATCTGAAAACCTTATGAATATACCATTCATTGCATTTCTTCTCATGTAGCTGTCAGATTCTTTAATAGGATCATGACTGGCTTTTTCTATTAGTGTGTCTCTAGCCATGGTAGGCTAGGCTTTATGTACTATGCCATATTTTAACCCTTTCATGAGTGGGTTTTTCTGGAGGGTGCCTATGTATGGACATACTAGTATGTCCATACTCCTGGGTTAGTTAGATTTAACCAATTATCATACTTTTGTATGATGTAGATATAAGCTCAGTGCAGTAACACAACTGATGAACAATCTTAGGTGTATCCATTTATAACTTATAATTTTTCCTCTAAGGATCTTGTTGCCTTGTTCTTGATCATTATATTATTCCTGATACAGATATCCATGATAGTCCAGGAAATCAGGAGGATTGTCTGGGTGCATTGAAGATCTCAACTAGTGACAAAAGGGAAGAAAGCTGAAAGTTCACCTGAACCCGTTTGGAGGGATTCTCTTATCAAGCTTATGAGTAGTCATAAAAGTTAGAACCAGGACACCCAGGTCCTATCAATGTGGTCATTTTTCAGTAGAGACCCACTAAAAGATTTCCCCTATGAGCTCATTGATGAAGAAGTTAACCTTGAAGGCCAGAGTTTATGGAGACTACATCGAGGCAAGAAGAAGGTGATCCCATTCTCTCTGTCTTCATAGCTCCCAAAAAAATTATAAATAAGTTAAGCTTGGCTCCATCTTAACATGAAAATGATCCCAGTGGTTATTAGTAAATACCATAGACATTATCCCTCATAGCTCTATTTATATAAGAAACTTATATTGCTGCAATCCCTTCTTTGACTTCCATAAGTCATATCCTGTTCTCCTTGCTTTTTCCATCTGCTCTTCAGGAATGTAGCTTGCAGGCCAACTCTGGAACTCAACTTAATATCATTTGTGTAGCCATAGTCCCACCCAACTGAGAATAAATGCTAGATCATGGCAAAACTTGAACCTATGACATTGAGAGAATTAAACTGTAGTACTATCCACACAGTGGCTGCAGTGGCATATTTGGGAAGGATCACAAAACATATTTAGTCTCTCTATATAGACAACTGCTACAGCCTCTCTTACCAGAAGCTATGGTAGTGTACAAATAGCAACTGCCTATTTAGACTCTAGGATCTAAAAATGTAGTTAAAAATAAGCTTAATAATAATAAGTTTTATATGTAAAAACTGAGATTTGAGAATTAAAATGCATTTGAATGATATTTCATGAATCCAACTCTCCTATTGTATATATGTCTAAATCTGTTTGGTGGGAAAATGTATGTTTTAAACTTATCTCTCATCCTTTTAGGGAAATGGTACTCAGGTGAGCATCTTCACTTATGATGTGAAGGGGAATGGAGAAGTATCTCTTGAAATGGCTCGTGGTTGCATCAAACGTCTCAAGACTATCAGACACCCAAGCATTCTCCCATATCTTGGAGACTGTGAGGTTTGTTGTATTTTGTCATCTGAAAGTGCAGATTAATTCAGGCCTCTCCATGTCACAAAATGATTCTTTTTTGCAATCTTTTCTGATATTGGTTGGTCTCTTCCTTTGCAGACTGATAAATGTATATATTTGGCAACAGAATATGTTGTACCATTATCAAAATACCTCAGTGACCTGTCCTTGACAGGCAAGAAGAGGGAACTTGCTATCTCATGGGGCCTGTATCAGGTTCTGGTAAGCTTCTTACATTTTCAGGTTGGAGGCATTATTCAATGGTTTGTATAGTATGACATTTTCCCCTTTGCTTGGAAGATGGGTTTGGAGTTCATTAATGGAAACTGCAACATGAGTCATTTCAACATTTGTCCTGCATCTGTATATGTTAATGTGGCTGGGGAATGGAAACTTGGTGGACTGGAATATATGGCCCAGTCAGGTGGCCAGCACATCCCAACGAAGATTCTCAGATCTCTTGATAGGTAGTTTGAACCCATATTATATGTTGCCTTGATTTATCTTGTCTTTTTCTTTTCTTGGATGAATTAATTTTCACTGTTGCTATTTTGAAAATTAGCACTGCCTATGGCTGGTTGTTGCAGGTATAATCCTCCAGAGAAGAATGCTGCAACAGCATGGTCAACTGATGCATGGGGTATGGGATGCTTGATCTGGGAAACCTTCAATCACCCTTTCTCAAACATCAGTGAGCTCAAGAATACTGGCAAGGTCAGTTTCATCTCTGCATGTCTAGAGAACTTTTCTCTGACTCATTTCTTACTTCCAGAATGTCTTTGATAGATTCCAAAAAACTTGGTCCCTCTGTACTGTGAGCTTGTTGGAGCAAATCCAAGATCCCGACCAAAAGCAGGGAAGGTCCTGGAGCGAGGGCGTTGCCCAGGAGGCTTTTTCTCCAATCCCTTGGTTGACACCCTGCTTTTCCTGGAATCCATAACCATCAAGGACAATGCAGAGAAGACTGCCTTCTTTGCACAGCTGCCTCCCTTGCTGGATTCTTTCCCAGAGAATCTATGCAAGGACAAAATCCTCCCTCATCTCATTCATGCATTTGAGTTTGGGAATGCTGGTGCCCCCGTGATATCCTCCATGTTTAAGGTGAGACTCTAGTATCATGTTTAGTACCTTTCATATATGATGCACTACTCTATGTTCTTGTTTATGGCAGTTGGGAAAACTGTTGGGGGAGGCAGAGTACCAGGAAAAGATGGTCCCGTGCATCGTGAAGCTGTTCTCATCAAAGGATCGAACTACTCGACTACGACTCCTTCAACAGCTTGAGTCCTTTGTGGAGCATCTCAATGCTAATGTAATCAATAAGGAAATTTTCCCTCAACTTATCAATGGGTTCATGGACACCAATCCAACCATAAGAGAGCACACTGTTCGAGTAAGAGCAGTTTTTGCTTTTGTATGCCCTTCTTTCTCAAACTTTTCTCAGTTTTTTAAATAATTTGTTTCCCTTGCAGTCAATCCTCTTCCTGGCTTCCAAACTCAATTACCATAATCTGAATGAAGAAGTCCTGAAACACTTTGCTCGGCTGCAGGCCAGAGATGACCAGGTGAAAGGTGACTTCAACCTCAATGAAAGAGGGGGAAAATGAGCTTTTTAAATTCATAGTCTCCTGTATGATTTTTCTTCCAGGGTGGGATTCGGACCAACACAACAGTTTGCCTGGGGAAAATTGCGTCTTACCTCCATCCCCAGACAAGGCAAAAGGTGCTCATCCCTGCTTTCACCAGAGCTATGAAGGATCCCTTCCCCTCTGCCAAAGCTGCAGGTCTGCCTCAGAGATTAGAACTCATTTTCAGTAGAAATAATACTTTCTGTCCCAGGCATTTGAATGCACTATGTATGGCTTATACCCATGATGATGGGTATGGGACTCAAAGTATCAAATAATTCAAATTCAGTCCATGGACCCAAATTCACAAACTGGGGCTGAAATGTAGGTGTTAAGTATGAGAATGCAAGGTCCCTGGTCAACCAAAATCAACCTCTTTATCAGGTGATGTACCTTGGGTTATCCTGGAAGTTATAAGAAACCACAACGAACAAACATGTCCTTACTTTTCCTATTTCTCCATACATGTAGCCCTTGTTCAGATTTGACTCTTTGACTGTGAGAGTCATAATGGGTGATGCATAAGCAATATTTAAACAAATTTTATGCATTAAATGCCTGTAATTATTTTTGGTGATGTGGTGATGTGGGATTATTGAATGCAGGATTGCTGGCTCTTGCGGCAACCCAGAGCTTCTACACGATGCATGATGTGGCATTGAAGATCCTTCCTTCCTTGATGCCTTTGACAATGGATGAAAACAAGCCAGTTAGGGATGAAGCATTCCGAACCATCAAGGGATTCTTGGCCAAGCTAGAGAAAATCTCAGAAGATCCATCTCTTCAGGAGAGCCTTGGTTCGTTTCCTCCCCCTCTTTCGTCTTGTGCAAAAAGTCTAGGGGCTTTTAAAAAAAAATACATCGTTTCATCTCTGCCACACAATGATTAGGCATCAGGGGCAAAATCATTCCTCCATTTCTTAAATCAGCAATTCATGTTGCCCAAATATACCCATGCCAGGTTATAAGTTCAAACAGTAAGGTTTCTGGTATGCTTTGGAAGAAATTGAAGTTAAATTCTTTAGGCTCTGAAAATTGAATTTAACCTTCTTAGTGCTCTTTTTCTTACTTAATTGTTTTCACTCCACCACTCATTCTTTCTCTTGCCAGTCTTATCCTTATCTTCTTATTCTTATCTTGTGAATTTCTCTCTCACCAGAGTTGTCTTTCAGGACACACACATATACAAGGTGTGTCCCAAAAGTATCCTAACTTTTTCTATACAGACAGTATTAGTGGCGCCATTTGTTGAAAGAAGGTGGCATTGCCTAGGGCGCCAAAAGTAACTGTACCCTTATGACACTCGTCGAGAAATCACCATGGAGCAGAGAGCTAACATCAAATTCTGTGTAAAATTGGGGAAAACATTTGCGGAGATGCTCGAGATGTTGTGGAAGGCTTATGGGGAACAAGCACTATCATGTACAACAGTTTACGAGTGGTATGCAAAGTTTCGGAATGGTAGAGAATCGTTGGAAGACGATGAACACAGCGGGCACCCTTTGACCAGTCGAACGGACGAAGCAGTGGAAAAAGTGCGTGATTTGATCAAAAGCGACCATTGCATGTCCGTGAGACTCATTGAGGATATCATAGGTATCAGTAAATCACAAGTTTACTGCATTTTGACCGAAGATTTGCAGCGGCGAAAAGTCTGTGTGCGATTTGTTCTGCACTCATTGGACGCCAATCAAAAACAAGCCAGAGTGCTGCATGCCCAAGACATCATTTCGATCGCCGATAATAACCCAAACTTTTTAAAAACCATTGTAACTGGCGATGAAACATGGTGTTTTCAATATGAGCCACTCACGAAAGTTCCAGAAGGCCAGACGGTAAATGGCGAATACTACCTCGCCGTTATGAAGCGTTTGCTGGCCAGAATTGCTCGGGTCTGTCCTCGATACCAAGCACCAGGCAGCTGGTCTCTCCTCCACGACAATGCTCCGTCTCACAGGTCCATCATTGTGCGAAACTTTTTGGCCTCAAAAGGAGTCGTAGTGCTTGACCACCTGCCCTATTCGCCTGATTTGGCACCCTGTAATTATTTCCTTTTCCCCAAACTAAAAATGAAGCTGAAAGGAAAGTGTTTCGACACGATTTTGGACATCCAAAAGGCTTCGACCAAGGTTATTTCCGCCATCTCGGAGGAAGACTACCAGAGGTGTTTCCAAAAGTTGTACGATCGCTGCAAAGCCTGCATTTCTTCGGAAGGGACTATTTTGAATAATCAATAATAAAAATTATAAATATCACATGGGAAATTGATTTGTAACTGAAGTTCGGATACTTTTGGGACAGACCTTGTACAATGCTTACATTACCATAGTGGAAAATGTTTTATTTACCTAGCAGGAAATGTACATATTATACAGGCTGTGGCAAAAAAAGACCAATGATTTTTAATCAAAGTATCTCCACTCATAAGGGAGCAGTTTTTGTAAAACTTTCACTATGCATTCATAAGTATGTTTCCAACATATTCTCAAAATTTCTTCAGTATTTGTTCAGCCGAAGCAATGCCATCAGCAATTATTGAACATAAGTTAGACATTGAGAATCTTCTAATTGAGACTTCTTTTCAAATATTGCTGATGGTATTGCTTCAGCTCAACAAATTCTAATGAATTTTGAGAATATGTTGGAAATATACTCATGTATGCATAGAGAAAGTTTAGCAAAAGTTGCTACATGGTGAGCAGAGATATTTTGGCTAAAAATCGTTAGTCCTTTTTTTTTTTTGCCTGTAGACAGGCCACTTATCCCCAAGACTGTCTCGGGGTGAGTACTAAAGAGGTTAAAGATGAGGCTTCCTCTCTGACTTAAGTTTTTGAATGACCTGAACTTCTAGGATCTTGTTGACCTAAATCCCTACCTTGATAATGACAAAGAGGTGGTGGAGACCTGTATTTTTTATGATTGTAGTCTAGCAACTTGTAGAATTGCTATAGAGATAAGGATACCTTTTGCAAGTGCATTGCTGACATCCCAGATATGAAATGATAATGTGCCCCATGGGTACTGCTCCTGTTGAATCCTGAGGAGGTATAGGATTATGTGATGTTGCATCTGAGTTGGAATGAAACATGCATTATGAAACTACAGGCGGACTTCCTGAATTCTCTTGCTCTAGCATCTATTGAACTCTGGTTTTAGTTTGCTCAAACACAGCTAAAGACTTCAATGAAGGGTGGGGCAAAATAAAGTAAAATCATTATCTCTATGTATTAATAATAAGTTGCACCATAAATCCCCATAATCTTGGAAATGACATCATTTCTGCTTTTAGAGTTTCTATTGTTTTAATTGGCTCTTGATACACACAGGAATTTAACTTGCATATTGTATTAGCTATGTAAACCAGTCGACTTTTACCGCATCCTGTATACTTAGCAAGCTAATGCATTCCAGACATGCACTTAAAAAAATGTTTGGCTTTTCCCACTTCTTTGATCTTATGGTGTAGATATACAAGTTTGAAGGAGCCTTCCATTTTCTCTGTCTGCATGCTTGCATGCACGACAGCTTCATTTTCTGGATGATACCAAACTTTTAGGATTTTTTTTTTCTTACTTCTCTCTTCAGAGGCTGAAGTGAATGCTCAGCCGAGTGGGAACCAAGGAGTGGACACATCAACCTGGGCAGGCTGGGCAGCAAATGCTCTGGCATTCCGTTTCATCAAAAAGCCATCACCGGCCAAGCCAGGGCCAGGCAAGGATTCTGAGAACACAGAAGTAAGTATGGAAGGGAACATGAAGACCATGAAGAGTCAGGAGGATACAAGCAATGATAGAGTCAAGGAGGAGGCTGAAGGCTGGGAGACAGAAGAAGGCTGGGTTGACTTTGATGACGGTGATGGCGAGCTTCAACAGGTCTGCACAATTCATCTTTACTGTTTGCTTTCTGGTGGTGTGCTGTCATGTCCTGCTGCATCATTGTGCGTGAATGGATGAGTGTAGGCAGAGGAGAAAGATAGAGGAGAGGAGAGGGAAAGAGAAAAAGAAATGGAAAAAGAAAAGGGAAAAGGAAAAGAAAGTGAAGAAGTTGGTGGAACTGATGGTGTATGGGAGGAATGGAAAGCAGAGGATGATCCAAATGTGAAGCCAGCCAGTGCCTACAATTGGCCTCAGTCATCTACTGATGACTTTTTCTCCCCTCCTCAGCAGGTACAAGTAACCTGGTGGGAGACCTGACCATCATCTTAATGATCTTCCTCCATGCATTCTCAGTCTTTCCCTTCCCCCTTGCATGATGCCTCATGCCTGATAAACTGCAAATTATGGACATCTCTTAGACTCCTGTAGCTCCCATCAGCTTTTGGGACTGTCTTTCCAAGAACCTAAGCAGCTCATTACATCAGTTTGATGTCATTTCTTTGATGCCTTGTTTCAGGCTTCAACAAAGAGCTCCGATGGCTGGGATGATGCTGATGATTGGGCCCCTCTTGAAACTGTGCCAACTGGTAAGTTTTGAATTCTTTTCCCAAGCCATGCTTTTTAACCCTTTGTTAGAACACAGGGGGGATGGCTGATACTTTTTGTTATAAAAATTGGTCCTGCTTGTCTAAAAGCAATAGTTTATGTAAGAAAATGTCATATCATGATAATTATTGAAGATAGCAGTTACATGCATGAATAGCTGTGAAATAACCTAGAAACAGTGAGTGTTCTAAGCCCAAAAACAAACCCATGCTACCACTACACAAGCCTGAGTATGTACTCAGGCAAACAGCCAAAGGGTTAAGATGTGATGACAGTTGTGAATCTGTACAAGGGCTTGAAATTTTATTTCTCACAGAGCAAGAGAAGAGAGCAGAGGCAGAAAGGCAAGCAGAGGAGAGAAGGCTTGCACGTCAGAAGCAGATGGAGGCCCGAAGAGCAGCTAGGCAGTCAAAACCCATGAAGCTTGGTGCTAAGAAGCTTATGGATTCCTGATTTATAAGGTGTGGTTGACACCCTCTGAAAAATGACTTGCTAAATCAATGCATTTGACCCTCTGCATTTCCTTACCAGGCATACCAGGAGCAACTGTCAAGGTCTGATTCTGTGATCCTCTGGATGCCTTTTGACAATGTTCTTGTATCCTATTATGTTTTTTGCTTGCTTGCATTGTTATATGTGGGGACCACCAAAGCATGTATATGATTCATGCTCATCATGGATAAAGTCACTCATTGACAAATATCAACATTGAGATGTGTCTCCCTGAAATTTCAAGGTAAAGCTAAGAAAACCAATTTTCTTGGATCTACTGGGAGGTGAGAACCTCTGGGGATTGGATCCCTGCATTCAGTGGCTTGAAAATTATGAGTGCTTATCATTTCATTGGTACTTATAAACTTGTAAAGCGATCTTAATGAAAGACCCTTGATTAAATCAAATCTTAAATTACTGTTGATCACCATCCGGTTCTAGTTCATTGAAGGGACTTGGACCAGTTCATAAATTGGAGACTCCCTAGTGCTTCCAGAGGTGATTGAAAGGTCCTTCAATCATGGTTGATCAGAAAGGTATATCCTGAATAAATTCTGTTTATGGAGAACAAGAGAGTATCAGCGTTATTCAGACTCTCTACTCCTTGATTTTCCCTCAGGGAATGAAAATCCACTGGGAGTGTCTTGGCACAACAGTCCAGCCATCCCGATGCTGAGTCCAGCCACTGTCATGGACTACTTCTCCGACACCTCAAACCCATTCTATGATAATACCTGCAATAATGAGATAGTGAAAATGCAGCGTCTCAACCCAGAGCAGCTTAGGTGAATCTGCTGTCCTCTGATACAGTTGCTGTGCCTCATCTTGTGCCTCATGTGGTATGTTTTTCCACAGTCAAATGACTGGGATCGAGTATACACTGCTGCATGTACAGGAGCCAATCCTGTATGTGGTTCGGAAGCAGCATCGCCTTTCCCCAACACAGGTGACACCACTCAATGACTATTACATCATTGCAGGAGTTGTCTACCAGGCCCCAGATCTCACAGCTGTCTTGAACTCCAGAATTGTATGTTTATATTCATTGCATGAGACATCTCATTACAAAGAGAAATATTGTTCCACGTCTTGTATCACTAGATGAGTGTAGTGCACAACATGAAAGAGGCATTCGATGAGGCATCGTCCTACTCCCGCTATCATCCATCCAAAGGATATTGGTGGGAATTTCCAAACCAGGAATCTGGGAAGGACAAGGCACCACCCAAGAAGAAGGTGAAGAAGACGAAGGAGGAACCGAGTTCGACATTTCAACGACAATGCTTGGACATGTTGTTGGACGAGTGGACAAGGCGGTTCCCTCCACGACCCATTCTCCCTGGCCCAGGTCCTCAGGCTTCCACCCAGACAGATTCTTCCAAGCCTGGAGGTCTTCCATCTGCTACAACTGCAACATCTGCTCCCATTCCCAATGCAGGTTCTGGCTTAACATCCACTGCTGCTGGTGGCATGTCCTCTCTGCCAGCTGTGCAGCTCCCTCAAGGTAAGACTTTTGTTATGAAATGGCCATTGTTGTATGGCACCCTTTATTTTTTCTCCAGCTTTGCCATGACATGAGACCATGACATCATACGAGGTGAAGTCAGAAAGTCCATACCGCACGCTTCTGGAATTAGTTGGAATAAATTATGGTTGGACTAGGTATTATGATCAGTTGTGAGTCAGACAGCACATTGTGAACATTGTTGGTATTGTTGTTTGTGTGCAGCATTGATTTTTCGACACAGTTTCCCCTACTGTCCCTGAGCAATGGAGTTTGCGGAGGAAGAACAAAGAATTGTGATCAAATATGTGTGATCCGTCAGGCCCCTTCCAATGAGAAAGTTCTTTACGCTATTTATCTGGACAAACAGGGTTTAGTTCTACCTCACGTAGTCCTAAAGGTGCAACCAATAATGGAAGCTACTACAAACGTGTTACAAACTGAGCTTTTACCAGCAGTAAACAAAAATTGTGTCTGTTGAAGGCCAATGACTGGTTCATTCTTCACCACCACACGAAGCAGGTGTTGTAAGGGAGTTTTTTTTAGGAAATGGTATCAAGGCCTTGCCCCATCCCCTATACTCACCAGACCTGACACCAAATGACTTTTGGGTGTCCTCAGAACTTGAGGATTCATTACAGTGTAAGATGTATGGCTCCCGACAAGCCTGTGGTAGTGCAGTTTACCAGTGGTTTAAACATACACCTGAGGAAGCATATTCCAAGTTCTTCAGTGACTGGCAACGAAGGTGGAAACTGTGTGTAGGTAAAGCAGGTGATTATGTTAAGTGACCACAGTTTCTTTTCAGAACTCCTGACTGTAAATTAGATATGGCTTGATGGTATGGACTTTCTGACTGCACCTCATACATCTCATTAGCAGTGTTAATGGGAACACACTCATTTTATCATGAACCTCTTTGGTTGATGTTTCATCTCAGTAGTCTTTGCTTTGAGGCTGTTTGTTTTTCTTAGTTTTGTTATTTGGAGGACCATGTCTAGGCTTAACATCTTGTGTTTGCTGTCTTTTCATGAACTGTTGATACATAACTCTCAGGATTTATTCAAAATGTTCCCATTAGCATTTTGAATACAATCCCATTGTGTGGGATTGTATCCACTGGCCAGTTTGAAACTACACTTGGCTTGAATTATCACAAAAAGGACATTCTGCCCTCACACTCCCAAGGCCTAAAAACAAGATCCCTACAAAGTATAACTTCTCTACCTCAAAGCAAAAAGCAGTTTCAGAACCAGTTGGAGAAGTCTTTGCCATCTCTTGTATGTATTGGCTTTTTCTGTGATGCAAAATTCACTCCAAGAATCTGCAAATGACTTCACCAGCTCATGAATCATAAAATTTGTATTTTATTTCAATAAACCTGTGTACTTCCTCATATCCAAGAGACAGCAAGACAGGATTACCATCACAGTTTTCCACAGGTTATGATGCTGTTCCTGAGCTCTTCATGAGATCTGTTATCTATTGTCATTGAAGGTGGAGATGATGGGAAAGTAGAAGTGAAGCAGGAGCCAAGTAGTCCACAAGCCATGCCTCCACCTGATAAGAAATTCCTCTCTTCCTGATCTCCCACTTCACTTTCCCAAGGAAATCTCTGACTTTACATTGATATGCTGCAAGGACTGCTCATGACAGTCTTACTGCTGTATTGTTTGATATTGCAAAATAAATTATTCTCACTTGGGGTCTTGAGGACCAGAGAGTGGATGAGATCAAACTTCTGCAGTTTCCTCCATGGTTTCAGCAACCATGAGTTCTCGATTTTCATGGGTCCAGAACCCATTGACATCAATCAGAATGCTCACCACTGTATCTCCTCTCCCACTGAAGACCATGACCATAATATTTCATCAATATTCTGGCAAACATATGGGGGGAAAAATCAGGAGGCCCACCAGTTGATGAGATCCTTGAGCATTATCTTGGTTGGATCTTTTGGCTTCACCATGTCAAAGCACTCATCTTTTATGTCTTCAAAGTTCACTGGTTCTTGTCCATGTGATTTCAGTTGTGCCTGTATTGCCTATTTGAGGGCAAGGAAAAAATAAAAATTATTGCCCATACTACTGAAATGAATTGGTACTCCAGCAAGATAACACAAGAACTTGCCCGAAAGAAATAGTTGAGTGAGAAAACAGAGAGGAATCCCTTTCCTTCTACATCAAGGATACGAAAGAAATACTGCAAGGCCTGGGGTTCCTTGCGGTTTTCTAGGGCAAGGACAAAGTCCAGATACGTCTTGTAGTCCATTTCCCCGTCATAAGTGAGGCACTCTTGAAACACACGGTCGATGAACACACTCGTCAACATTCCAGTCCCATATCGCTGAAGTTCTTCCTTACTCAGCATCCCATTATGGTCTCGATCCAAGTTCAAGTACTGGCCATAGACACGTAAAGCAGAAGGCGCTGAGAACCAATTAGCCTCTTGGGCCTCTTTGGGCAACTCCTCATCACGTAGCTGTCAATGATGTGCAAACAGCAGCCTTAGTACTTTGCAAGTCACAAAAGGTACAAAGTGGCAGAACTCACTTCCAGTAGATCATCAAGGAAACTGCATGCAAGGATATCTTGAATGCGAACACGGCCAGATCTAAAAGGATCTAGGAAGAAGAAGAACTTTCGGACTGCAGTGCACACATAAAACGAATGAAAAGACTTCTCTAAGCCATCCAGTTGAGGCAAGGTGGGAATCAGCTCCAGAATGTAATTCTCCAAGTCCTGAAAGGATTCCATTTATCTGTGAGAACTCATTCTATTGAAACTTTCACTCTTTGTCCACTTCACAAGCACTTTTGCAGGGCACTTAAACTCACTGACTCCCTGAGGTATCCCTGCCCAGTGACATCATAGAGGGAGAGGCCAATACGAGTCTGATGAAGCCAGACTTTCCTCATGATGTAATTAAACAAAGCCATGATGGACACCCGACCATATGGATCTCCATTCTGCAGTTTGGCAAAGAGACTGGCAGTGAAATATTGCTTGCATTTGGGATTACATTTCTCTGCAACTTTTTTGTAATCTCCATATTGAATCATCTGCTCATCTCCTGTGTCTGGAGGAGTATGGTGCTTGTCCAGCAAAAGCCATAAATCCTGCAAAATGGATATTCATTATTAAAAAAAACTGGATTGAATGAATATCAACAATAGATCTGCATGCTGAAAACAAACTTTGATGTCATCATTGTCCAATAGTTTCCTACTTCTCTCCTGAAGAAAAAGCGCCCGAGATTCCTCCCTCAGCTTCTGCTGGAGAAGTTCGTCCTCTGCTGGCAACTAGATTATAATGAATACTCAAATGTGATGCACTGGGCATGATGTTATTCCTAGGAGTAGGTTACCAAGAAATTACACTCTACTTTTTTGTAGAAAGTGGGGATCGTTGTCTTGGCCACATCTCCACCAGATTCCTTATCCTTGTCATGCATCAGCTCGTGAAAGAGCCGCATCTCCTCTTCACTAACTTTCAAAGGATGAACCAAGTATTCAGCAGTCCTTTTCAGATCCTTGGTTCCTTCTTCAGGAATACCTTCAAGAAAGACAAAAGATATAACTACTACTAATGTTGGTAGCAGCCTTGTGAACAAGTATGAGAATACCATTTCCACTCAGTCCCAAGCCTGATGCCATAGTAAATATATTAATTGGTTTCAATATCAGGGCCGTATCTAGGATTTCATTTTGGGGGAGGTTGAGGTCTGGCGTATGCGCAATGGCTTTTTTTTAATACTTGTCATTGTAAGTCTTTTTAACATATCTGGATTTTCCTGCAAGTTGCAGTGTTTAATAAGTCATGAGCTATTAAAGATAGAAAAGACCAAGTACTGCACTGTTTACACCGACGAATAGCAGTATGGCAAAAATTTAAGGAAGATATTTCGGGGGGGGGTTTGAACCCCATGAACCCCCCCCCCCCCCCTAAATACGGCCTTGGTCAATATGCCTGCAAAGTTGCTTGCTTAAGAGTTCCAAATCCAGATATGTTAAAAAGACTTACAATGACAAGTATTAAAAAAAAGCCATTGCGCATACGCCAGACCTCAACCTCCCCCAAAATGAAATCCTAAATACGGCCTTGGTCAATATGCCTGCAAAGTTGCTTGCTTAAGAGTTCCAAGGGTTGCAATCAGTTTTGCTTTCTCAGCACCACATGTCCTCCTTTACCATTAAATTACCTACAGCCTAGATGGTATAATAAAAACAGGCTAGCATAAAGGAATTACTGTGGTTTGTGTTCCTAGTTTTCTTTTCTTCTTAAAAATTCCACATTTCATTTTTGTATCTGGAGAGTTTCTAATTTATCTAATTTACTATTAACATTATGATGGCATTCTGTTTCCAACCCATCTCTGGTTTTGTCAAATGGAAAAATCAGCTCTTATAATCTTGTGAATGAAATAGTAATTCTAAAAAACAAAGTAACTCCTTTTATCTTTATGACATCAGACCTGGCAAATTTCAATAAAAATAGGCCCTCTGTGTTCTACATAGCACGTCCACATAGATGAGGAAATCACGCTATCACAATGTAAAAACGTCATGAGGTATACGCTTCAACCTTAGACAAAAGCATCACCTGCTTCGGCTTCACGGGTTGCCTTGAGGTCATCCCGGACAGCGTCGCTTCCCTCTTCGCGTCCAATCTTCAAAGATCTCAACGATTCCCGTAACGTCATCATCTTTTACCCGAAAGGAGGTAAATCTGGCGTCCTGCTTTCCCAGCAATTACGAATTCACGCGCAACAAAGGCGCAGACATGACTTCCAGTTGGAGACCTAATCGGACCTTCGTTCTTGAATGGTGTAAAGAAACAAACCTTCAAACCGTTGAATGGAGAACAAAACAACGTGGTAATCAGAAGGAATATTCAATACTTGTCACAGAAATAATTTTTAAAGGAATCATTAGATGGAGGAGAATGAAGTTTGGCTCAGTTTTTACGCCTTTTTAAAAGTAAAATCCGGCCCGCTTTGGCTGCTGCTGCTTCTCTATCCCTAGCGATAGAAAGACCCCTAATGCCATCACTGCGTCAGATGGTTCTGTGGTGTAGTGGTTATCACATCTGCTTTACACGCAGAAGGTCCCCGGTTCGATCCCGGGCGGAACCATAATCTTTTTCTCCTCTCTTTCATTCTTCCTTTCTTCTCTTACTTCCCCTCCACATCCTTTGTGAAGAAATAAACTGCCGCTTTGAACCGTGCGATGGTCCCGCGACCCGTCAGTCATTGCCTTATGGTTCCTCAACATTTATTTATTATTTATTTATTGAGTCCTTGGCATCTGAAAACGCGGTCAGAATGAAACCTTGAAGGCGAATCACAATTTCTTAACTTTCTTCAAGCATTAATTTTTGGAATTGACAGCACTGTGCACGCAAAAATGAAAATTCAAACTCGTGTCACTACTTTATTCATAATTTTCAGTTTTCCCGTATCGGCAGTGAATCTTCTTTATGAAAGAGAAACATTTTCAGCTGATATTTTTTTTGTAGCTAGGGTGCTTAGGTATCGCCCAGTGCATCGTTCCTCTAACACGAGTGAGAGAGTGTGTGTGCGTGTAAAAAGAAGTTAGTCGATTTGCCTTGAAGGATGCATTGAGTTCGTTCCCTTGGAATTCTTCCCCTCCTGACGAGGGAGAAAAAAGTGCGATTCCGCCCGGGATCGAACGGGAGACCTTCTGCGTGTATAGCAGATGTGATAACCACTACACCACGGAACCACCAATCGTGATATTTGTTCGGAATTCAGCTATAGCTAGGGATTGAGAATTCGCAGGAAAAAGCGATTCCTCTAATGCAAGCAATCCGAAGTGGGAAATTCGTGACGTGTGAGGCAGCGGCATGGCGCCGGGAAAACAGGCTAACAAAACTAAGGGTGGATTTTTGAACAGAGCATTATCCGATAATGCAGCTTTATTTACCGAATTTATAATGCATTTTCTCTGAAATAAAGCTGCATTATCGGATAACCTTTCCCCCCCCCCCCCCCCCCCTCCCCCCCAACTTTTCTATTCGAGCTACGCTAATGGTGCGAGGAACTCTTTTTTTTTATGGCTCGCCATAACTTTTTTTATTTATTTCTGTGAGGTACTCCTTTTCTTCAAAGAAGGAAAACAATGAGAGATTTTTCGGCGATCGTGGACGAGAGGGGGGAAGGTAGAATTCGTATCTCGGAGGAACTCGGACGTCTGCCAGCAGAATGACGAACACCTGCCAAAGGTCGGGATGCCACGGACGCCGAAGGTCGACGTGTCACAGATGCCAAAGGTCGGGATGTCACGGACTCCAAAGGTGAAAACCTGACGGATGCCAGCGATATATATGGGATCGTTAAGATGTTTCTCGGGACGACCCGGGTCGTCTTCTGAAACTCCGTTTCCGTCGAACGACATAAAAAAAAAGTCATTCATGAGGTCGAAAGGAGGAAAGGAGAAAGAAAGGGGGAGGAAAGGGAGAGAAAGGGGGGAGGAAGGGGAGAGGAATGGAGGAGGGTCTCTTGCTCTCGTGTACGCGTCCGATTCTTGATACTTCTGTAGCCAGGAATTGACCTGTGAGGTTGAGAGTCCATAACCAGCAGGCAGAGTGGCACAAATACGCAAGCCAGCACTCATTATCCATACGGTGTCGGTCACGAGAAAAGACATTACTGTACGTTTATCTTCCACATAGAAACGCACCCCTTCCCCCCCCCCCCTCCCCCTCATCAGAAGTCATGATTGTATATTGCGGATGTGACACGAGATGAGGCTGGGTAAGAAGCGGTAGCGAAACGAAATGAAGTACCGTAAATACACATTTTCTTTAGCTCCACGAGTCGCATTACTGGGAGCGAAAAAGTATTCTGATGACTCTTAAAAACTGGTGAAAAGACTGGGATGGATTTCGTGGATTTAAAAATGAATTTATACAGTTAGGAATGCAGATTTAAAGTGAAAAAATAGGACATTTACGTTTAACTTTGAATTTAAGGAGTAAGATTGGTAGAGTGTGTAACCCTCGCTAGCTGCTCGCTCGCGTCAAGGAATTCTGAAACGTTACCTCGCTGGGGAAGGCCCGTCAAAGGCCCTTTGTGCAATCTTCAGGCTACATCGCTTTGTCGAGGCTGTGTCCGGTCATGCGGGTTTCCCCCCCCCCATTTTTTCCCCGCATGGTTGTATTTAAAAAGCGAAGCCTTGAAAAGCACAACTGTCCAGCACAAGAAAAACTGAAATTTATATATAGGGTGATCATTAAAAAAAACGCTTTACCGTTTTCTATGGGGAAACACAGTTTCATAAATGCAACAAAAAAATTTACATTGAATACGCTATCAATATTTGACAGGTACATGGTGTTGAGATGCATGCCAGCTCTTTTTTTTTCAGCACCCCTACCTAAATTGTGCAATGTCCACTTAGAGGTGAATTAAAGGTGCTTTAATTAAAGGTGGATCGTTCCACCTTCCTGGAGGTGCTCCCCTGTACAGGGTGGCGCAAAAGTCGCGCACCATAGGGTAAATTAAAGTAAATGTTCGAATTGTTGAACATCATCTTGGAAACACTTTTCAATTCGATGTACACAAGATGTTTCAACACTTCTTAACACATTGATGCTGATCTTGGCACACTCAGATCAGATTTTTTCCTTCAGCTGCTCTATGTTTCTGGGACGTTCAACGTAGACGACTGACTTGAGATGCCCCCACAGAAAGAAGTCAAGAGGCGTGAGGTCCGATGACCTAGGTGGCCATTCGACGGGCCCTCGCCATTCAATCCACTTGTTTGGGAACTTCTTATTTAAAAAGTCCCGAACGAGGATTGAAAAAAGGAATGGTGCACCGTCCTGCTGGAATACACTTCCCGTTTCTTTGAACCGATTAATTATTCTTCCAACGGTTGCCTGATCAATTGGAGGCTTCTCTGGGTGTTTTTCATTAAATTCAGTAGCAATTGATCGATTTGAAGTGTCTGGCCTTCCACACGTTAAAACTAACTCTACCCTCTCGTTTTTTGTTAATTTTGAAGCCATCACTTACCTGGAAAGTAAAAAAAAATTATTTCTATAGTCCAACAGTGAAATCCCCTATGGTACGCGACTTATGCGCCACCCTGTACTGAGGCGTCCCCCTGCATCTGTGCTCGACCGTCTCAGAATTCAATAAACTTTTCAACTTTAACTTTTCAAGGGACAGTTGGATGCAGCTCATACTTGACAGAGAGGTTCTTGAGTCTAAGAGGTTTTTTCACATCCGCAAGATGGCGCTGTATCCCGTTAGAAGGCGCTGTTGTTGGTCGGAGGGCCCCCTGTATTTGTGCTACGCCACTTTTCAATTAGGAAAAAAAAAACCTATAGGTTTCTTTGAGCCTTCGAACCTTACATGAGACTCTCTGCCAAATATCAGCTGCATCCAGCTGTCCCTTGAAAAGTTAAATGAATTCTGAGACGGTCGAGCACAGGTCATTACTTCACGGAAGGTGGAACGATCCACCTCTAAGCACCTTTAATTCACCTCTAAATGGACATTGCACGATTTAGGCAGGGGTGCTGAAAAAAAAGCTGGCATGCATCTCAACACCTTGTAACTGTCAAATATCGATCGCGTATCCAGTGTAAATTTTTTCTTGCATTTATGAAACTGTGTTTCTCCCATAGAAAAAGGTAGAACTTTAAAAAAAATTATTTATAGTCACCTTATATGTACGAGGGGCGGTCAAAAAGTCTTTTTAATTTCTCACTCACACGCATACGCATGATGGTTCACAGGTTTCGCTTATACAGCTTCTCAACATAGTCCCCCTCGATGTTCATGCACCTTTCGAACGATGAGTGAGCCTCTAGAGGCCATTTGCGATCCACCGTTTCGGTGTGTTCGGCACCCACGCCGGACAGCTTTTTGTAACTGCACTACTGGTACTCCACGATGCAGATCCAATGATTTTTTTTTTTTTAAAGACTCGTCACCGCCGATGAGACTTGGTTTCATCACTTCGAACCAGAGACGAAGGCACCAACGAAGCCATGGAAGAATTCGAGCAGCTCACCTCCCACGAAATTCGAGACGGCTCCATCCGCTTGGAAGCAAATACCTACCGTGTTTTGGGACCATCACGGAATCGCTCATCGATCGGTTTCCGAAACGTCAGACGATCGACAGGGATGCATATGTGGCCACCTTGACAGGTTTATTGGCAGGGTCATTCGGAAGAAGCGCCATGGCAAACGAGCGACAAAGGTGCTGCTCCGGCGTGATGACGCTCGCTCACGCGCGAGCAGACGGACCACGGAGGCAATCGCCAGGCTCTGGTTCCAGACGGTCTAACATCCCCCACACTACCCTCATTTCGTCCCCGGCGATTGCTGGTTATTTGGCAGCATCGATGAGTTTTTGCGGGGACGGCACTTTGCCGCCACGGAGGCTCTACAGCAGGGGTGACCAACAGTTTTGCCCAACTGGGCCGCATTGCCCCTTAAGGGACCTCCCGCGAGCCGCAATACCTTTTTTTTTTTTTAAACATTAATATTACATTTACAATAATATTCGGGAAACGTCGCGGGCCGGATGAACTGTCACCGCGGGTCGTAGATTGGGCACCCCTGCAGATGGTCTCCAGAGGCTTCAACATCGTTCGGAAGGTGCATGAACATTAAGGGGGACTTAGTTGAGAAGCTGTACGAGTAGAAACTTGCGTTCCATCACACGTATGCGTGTGAGCGAGAAATCAGAAATACTTTTTGACCGCCCCTTGTATATTTCATCAGTTATTCCGAGAGTGCATGCGTGTAGAAGCGTTGAAAAAGTTCGGAGACTGATTTTTATTTTATTTTGAAAGGGATCCGCGATCAGTTGTTGCAGCAACAAACTATACGGTGCGCTTGAATACCTGGAGTGACGGGGCTGGGCTACGGCTCTCCGCATTTTCGCCATACAGCCTGCGCAGTCGGACGCGACAGAGCCTGGATCGTCCGAATCCGAAACGACGACTTTCTGGAGCAGCGAGTTTCTATCGAACGTTGCTTCAAACTCGGAAAAACGGCGTCGGAGACTTGCCGGAAGCGGATCGCGGAGGGTCTACTGTAACGCGTGGCAAGGTTTTTATGCGATGTGGGCGTTTCCGTGACGGCCGGGAACGGACCGAAGACGACTCGCGTTCCCAACGCGAGTCGTCTTCGGTCCGTTCCCGAACCCCTTCGAGGTCGCGAATCGACGAAGGCGCCGAGCGAGAGAACAATCTCCTGCGCTCCGACGGGAGGATCGCACTTTAACCCTTTCGGTACGGAGTTTGGCGGTCATCATCGTCATCCATGGACTGTGTTAGTTTTACGGAAGATGTACGATGTGGATACGCATCGGCCCATACGTGTTCATAGTCCTAAGGAGCGGCTTACTACAAAACGTGCATACACGTTCACAGTCCAAAAGGCACAGCCTACTATAAACGTGCATACGCGTTCACAGTACTTAAAGGGTTAAGAGAGGTGGCAGAGGAGACGAACGCGTCGATCGGCACCTGTCGTGCCATCGTCCCCCGAGATTCCGGCAAACGGCGCGTCTCCGCTTAATTTCTTCTGCGTCGTCTCGCTGCCGAGGTGAAGCAGCAACGCGTCGGCGTTCGTCGGGATCTGTCGTCCGGTGCCGCAAACGACCTTCGCCGGCTTCGCAACGTCAACACGGGCGATGAAACACGGGTTTATGGTTACTTCGCCAAAACCGAACGCCAGAGTTCGCAACGGAATACGATACGTTAGCCGAGACCCCAAAAAGGCGCGACGGCGAAAGTCGAAGGCGATGCCGATCGCATCCTTCGACCTTGCGGGACCGGTTCATCGCGAACTCGTACCGGAGGGTCGAGCGGTGAACCGGGCCGTCTATCTGGGTGTCCCGAATCGCCTTCTTGACGCCGTCCGCCGGAAAAGGCGAGAGAAGTCGGAGACCAAAATGTGGATTCTGCGACACGACAATGCCTCTGGCCCACACCGCCTTCTCCGTGCGACAGACAGAAGTGGCATCTGTTCTCGACCGCCCACATCACTCGCCTCAATTGGCTTCATGTCACTTCTTTCTCTTCCCCGAGTCGAAACCAACGCCGAAGGGGTGAAGATTTGAAGACATCGAATCGATCAGGAACAACTCGACGAGAGCGCTTGGTAACACCATGGATACAGAGTGATTACAGTGCAAACCATCGGTTCGGTGATCGACTAGAAGAGCGGAGGTGCAATAAAATATTCAATCTCCCTTTAGTTAAACAATGCAGCAACAAGCAACAAGAGGTCTAAAACGTGAGCATGGTTTGAATAGCAGGCAGTTGCTTTTAAAACATTAATTATGGACATTGCTACGTGGACCCAAGCAAATTAGGCGAACAGGAAGAATCCCTTAAAAAGTGAGCGTTTCCCATAGACATAATGATAAATTGGACCAAACACTTCCTGCCCTTACCCCTGACACCATGACATCCCAGAGAGAGAGGAATCTGAAATCTGACCAAGTGGGAAATGCATGGCTTCATTTCTGAATAACAAAACAATAGAAGTGAGAGAATCATGCACCAGAGAAGGACATATAGGCAGCTCATAAAGAAAAAGACAATAATTGAATCAACTCTGGCAGTGAAGACCACAAATCATCAATAACAAAATCTCCACCAGAATTAAACTGCTGCATTTCATTAGACTAGCATTCAATCTAATCCAACAACTGCTTGATGGACAGACCACTTCATAACTGGAATCATTCCCCACAAATATTAGAGGCTCGTGTGAGAACGCTGAGGTAGAAGCATAGCTGAGTTGTCAGTCAATGCAATGCACTTAGTGAAAAAATTGATGGTTTCTTCACAATTTATCCTGTACCATATCAGTAGTGAAGCATCACTTAGCATGCATGTGAAGCAAGCAGTCAACTCAAAAGTCTGCAAGGAGAAAAATGATCAATAAACTAACCACATAAAAGCAAAAAAAGTAGGTAAATAGATCACAGGTGACACAGTGGAGAAGGAACAAAGAGGTCACTAGTGGACGGATAGCATCAGAGATTGGATCTAGCCGGAGCAGCAGCATCGGTTCGCTTCTTGAGGCTTCGCAGGGCACATTTGGCAGCTGTGGACTTGGCAATGCGGTAGTTGCGACCTATGCCCTTGAACGTCCCCTTCCCGTACACCTCGACCGATACTCGCACTCTCCCATCCAGCAGGCGCTCTGGCTTCCTGTAAAGAAAAACCAATGATGAAAAACAGTAATAAACCAGGACTTCCCAATCACAATGCAGAGTCCAGCAAGGCAAGAGGAAGGATAAATATCATACCCAAACTTGGCTGTTTCTGGCTCCATCTCCAGCAATTCCCTGATGGGGGACTTTGGGACATATGTGCTGAATTGTTCTGCAACAAGTAATGAGTCAATCAGTATTAACCCTTTCAATACTGAGTTTTTGTAGCTCTATTGGATAACTCAGTGAGTATACTTGTCTGGAGCACGAAAAGGGTTAAAACTGCTAAGACTTACTTTTCCCTCCACTTTCACAATCAAAGGAATTTCCCCATTTAGAATCAGTAATTCCTGTTTTTTGAATGTGTTTTTTGGCTCACAGGACATGTAAAGTAGGTCCTGACTAAAAACTGAAAGATAGCTTCTGCTGCTTTCTGAATAAGAATAATAGAAATATCAAGGAATGGGATGAAAATAATAAAAAACATACCAATCTGTCCTTTCATTATCCGATAGTAGACTTGCCAGACAGCATCAAGAGATAACCCTGAGTCCAAGTAAATGGCTCCAGCCACAGACTCAAACACATCCCCTAAGGCCTTGGGAACTTCTACATCCTCAGCTTCCTCCACTTCTTCCTCTTCCAACCAGTAAAACTGTCAATAGAAAAAACCCCTAAAATTCACACAGCTACCGTCAGAAGAGTCAAGGTCCTTTGAGCATGAGACAGACTTCTTCTGTGATCTGATGACCATTCTGGATCTGGAGGGAGACAAACTTCTCCAGGACAGTGAAGAGACCTGGGGAGAGGTGCTTGAAGTACTTGTGAAAGTTGTACTTCACAGCCAAGCAGGCAAAAATGGTATTGTTCACCAGGGCACTGCGGAGATCAGTCAGAGATCCAGGACTGTGCTGCCGGTGGTCTTCATACAAGTGACGCGTTATCAGGTAATCTATGAGAACATCATAGAATTTTTATATATTTTTTTTTTTGCCAGTGACATGAACTAAATCAAGACAACAGATACTCACCTAGAACTGCATCACCAAGGAACTCAAGTCGCTGGTAGCAGTCTGTAACCTGGTTGGGATAATATGAGGCATGTGTAAATGCCTGGAGGAGGTAGCTCCTGTCCTGAAACTTGTATCCAATCAGTTCTTCAAACTCTTCATATCCTTCCAAGAGTTCAGACAACTGTGCAACAGGGTCCATAGTATAGGCTAGGAATGGAGACTGGGGTGGCTTAAGGAATCCATAATTTGGAGAGGAATCATTTTTTCCAGCAATACGAGGACAGGGTTGAAGAGATGTCAGCACATCTGCCTTGGGAAATTCCTCGTCCTTCAGAGGAAGAACACGGAGACCCAGCCATGCCATAAGGAGTAGGGCTCCCCGTTGTCCACAAGTGATGAGATATGCACCAATTAGTGCTTCAACGCAGTCTGCTACGCTTTTATCGGGAATGCTGTGTTGAGTTAGGAGATTGTAGGGGAGGAAACAGGGGAAATCACCAGGATTGGATGAGAAGGCAGAATCATCCACCTTGGAGCTGCTTCGGATCTGCTCTGATTTCTCCTGCACCACTGCCCGAATCTGGGCAGAATCCATGGTTCGGAAATCTGGAAGTTCGGCAAAGTTCCACCTAGTGGTTGGGACTCCTGATTCAATGAGAGCTTGCTCGAGTTCCTGAGGAACTCTGTACCCTGGTGGGAGCCAGTTGTCATGAGGCTCAAATTTTGCAGCAACCATGCATTCTCCCAGTCCACACTTCCTCCCTAGACGATACAAGTGTAGGTTACTCACTTGTTTGGAACGTAAATAACTTAACTTCCCTTCGTGGACATTGGGATGAGCAAGAAAGAGATATGTGGTGATGGCAAACTTGAGAAAGGAGTCTCCCACTGTCTCCAGACGTTCCAAATTTATTCCATCATTGGCATTGGACATGGTGAGGGCTTGAAGCATGACGCTGGGGCTGGGCCCTGGATGAGATTCCAAGTCTGGCTGGTAATCAAAGCTGAATTTCAAAGCTCCTCTGTTTTCTGCTTTCAACCATTCCAAAACACCCCAATCTAGGACCAGGATCTCTCCCAACTCTACATGAGAACCTGAAATGAGCTCTGAAGACTTAAATGCCTTCAGATCCTGGAAGTGTCCATCTAAATTCAGACTGAAAGTCTGATCATTTATTCCCAACATGGGATTGACATCACAACCAAGTTTCAGGTCACAATCTTCATCTGCATGAATGTGTATATTGCTGGAGAGAAGACGTTTCTTTTGAATTGTCACCTTCTTGTCAGCATCTTCCATTAGTTGAGTCTTCAATTCTTCTTCCTCCTCCCCTTCGAAATCCCACTGCAATTCTTCTTGAGCCTCAACATAGATATCCTCCCGTACTGCACGAGGGTTCTTCTCAATGGCCTCAGCTGTGTTGTCATTGTGAAACTCTATCTTCATGCCTGTATCATCTCCATCAGAATCAGAATCTAAGTCATCATCCACAGAGCCCCAGCCAGACATAATGCCCCAGGGCATTTGACCTGAATCGTCCAGATCACCCCATCTGAGAGCAGAATCCTCAAAGTTGCTTGGAGAACCCACACGGAAGCGACCCTTCTCTCCGATGGGCCATTGAGTCCCTTGATCCCTGCCAAATACACCTATCAATTCATCATCTTCACCTGTTGACAACATCTCCAGATTGAGTGGAAGTGAACCAAGTTCTGGATCATCAAAAGCAAACACCTCCTGGCCCCCAGGAGCGGCTTTCCCAGGTTCAGACAAGGAAGCCATATCATTGGACCAGGTGCCTATTTCCATCATGTCTTTGAGGACCTGCTTCAGCTGCTGCTTCTCCTTGGCCATTGGCTGCACATCCTGAATGGATTCATCATCCTCTTCTTCTTTCAATTTTTCTTTGCTCTTTTCCTCTTTGACTTCCACACTGTCCTCTTTCTCTTTTTCTCCCTGATCCTCCCCACTTGGCTGTTCCTTTTCTTCATTCTGCATGTTGTGATGCTTGGATTCATTCCCCTGTTCTACGTTATTCAGTGGTGGTGCTTCAAGTGCAGGCTTTATTGGACATGGATTGCTTGTCCATTTGGATTCCTCCCTCTCTGTCTCTGCTTTGCCTACCTGTTCAGCAACCAAAGGCAATCCTGCCTTCTGGCGCTGCCTCTTGATGACATCAGCCAAATTCCAGCCAAAGTCTAGACACGGCCAACTGAATTCTGAAATAGGAATGCACCTAACATGTAATTCCTGCAGTATTGTTTATAGCTTCTGACTCAAGATCTTACCAATGATGGACCCACCAGAATCTGTGATAAATGGTTTCCCAACCCCAATCTCAGAAGCAACCTGGGATCGAATTTCATCAGCAAGCAATAAGCAGTTAAGACGATATATGATGCAAGGGAGACACACAGCCTTTCTCCATAAGGATGCTCTGAATGGATGGATGCTGCATAGCTCTGGCACAAGGATCACCTGCATACAGAAAATCCATGTAACATGAGGAAACTATATCAAGAGCACAAAATAAGTCCTAAATACAGCTCAGAATGTTCTGGATAAGTAGGGTATTATCTAACCTTTTGCTGGAGATTCTCTCGCCTGGCCCTCTTTGTCTGCTCACTGCAAGTGGGAAGAGCCACTCCCTTCCGATTGACATACCTAGGACAAGAAAGATAGTTTGATGCCAATCACCCCAGCCTTTCAAAGACAGGTCCCATCCTTGGAACAAGCTAGATTTTAGTGAAAGCTCTGAAGCATGGAGAAGAATAAGTACACCAAGTATCAGTAGGTAGGATACTCACGATATGAGAAATATACAAAAGTCTGCAATTTTTTTTTCTTACACTAATGAAAAATGCTGATATCACTGGAAAATCACATGCATTTGTTTCCTTGAAATAGGCGAGAACTTCATCAAAACCATTGTTTACTCAGAGCCTGAAATTCTTGAAGATAAAAGTGAAATTTGAGATATGGATCTGCTTATGTACAATAGTGTGACTGAGTGGTTCTTGTACTGCTCTATTGAATAAGGGAGATTCCTGCTGAAAATTGCACAGACAGATTTCTAGCTGCTACACTTTTCTTTCTCTTCTTCACCAACGAAGAAGAGCTTGCCTCCTTTCAGACAGTATGGGTCATGTACTTGGCACACCAAGTTAGCAGCCTGATCCTTTGTGGATGATTAGATTCTGATGTATGGTGCTGGTTCCATACGTGAAGAGAATCCACTCAGAAGCATAACAGGGAATGGTTGCCATTTTCCTGACAACTCCACAATAAAGGCTAGGTTACAGATACCAAGACAAACTCAACCTCCATCTACATATCTGCTCCATATGAGCAATGGAGAACTGTGAGGCACAGACCATGTATTCCACTATAGTTAGCCACTCCTTTGGTGAAACAGAATCCTGAAGAAGTCAAAAACACTGACTTTTCCACCATACACATTTAAGCATTTCTTAAATAGTTATTCAACTGCAAATGAGTATGGGATTGTTTGGTAAGTATACAAAATTTCATTTTTCAAGGAAAATAATATTCTTCAAGATCTGGCCTCTCCCAGTCATCAGCATCTCCCATACATGACTTTTGCTGGCTTCTCAAATCACTGTTTCCTGCTTGCCCATGATGGGGATTCTTCTTCCTCTGAATCTCTATATGTCATATCAAAAGTATGCATCATTGCAATAAGTAACTCCTGAAACTTCATATGACAGCCATTTTTCACTGATTCCAAAAATTTGTAAATAGGTTTTTTATTTCAAAAAGAGTAAAAAAGGACCTTCAAATAAATTATATTTAGGGGTGATGCACTACTTACAATTGGTAAATTAAAATACATGGAAAAGTATAGGCTAAATGCATTTAGCTCAGAGTGCATAGATTTTGATTTGAATGCATTTTTAGCTCTTCAGTGACACATGATTGACCTAAGACTGCCTCATACCTAGGAGTGAGAAGATTCAGTCTTGCAGATGTGAGATCAACATCCAACAGTGGCTGGCTTAGATTCTGGATCTGGATCCCATACTTGAGTAGGTAGTATTTTTCAAAGGTCTCAAAGTCTTCATCAGGGAAGTTGGACTTGGGGTTCAGCCAAGGACATATTTCAGCCACATAGAAATACTGCAAGGTGGTATCCATGATCATTCATTCTCAAGTTTCATTCATCAAATCAGTCCATATGAACTTAACAGTGAGGACAAACCTGAGGCTGGTCCTGATTACGGTACCATGGCATGACAACAGCATCTTTGTAATTATCTTCACAGAAATTGTAATCTTTCCTCTCTTCATCAGAAATTGTCTCAGGCTGAACTGTCCCTAAATCACAGATCTCCTCGATGAATCTCCAATCCAATGTTTCACCACCATTTCCATCTAGATGGCATGCAATGGGTGCATTCAAGGAAATGGATCCACAGAAGCTTGTGAGGTTTCAATTTCATGATTTAATACACCTAGCATTAAATGCATTTGACAAAGCAAACAGGAACTCAAATCATGATCCCTACTTACAACTTGTGAATGGAAAGTTTGACACATTCAACTATTTATGTTAAAGACAATACACCATTCTTAACCTATCACTCATATTACACTATCACTATGACTCATGGTATTTTGAGCACCACTCAAATACTTGCTTTTGTTATGCTTTTACACTCAGCTTCAATCAAATGGAATGTTCTGTGTCATCATATGCCATTCACCTAGGTTTTAAAATATTTTGCACTGTTTTTATCCTTAAGAAATAGAAAGGTCTGCATGTAATGCAAAAAACATGCACTATGTGCTGACAGAAATCTTACCAAATGCTAAAAACTGAATAAATCATATACTTCAAATAAAGATACTACCAAAGCTGGTGATGCCAGTTGCCAAACACCACCAAGCTGTTAATTATGAAATCTGACAGTCATTCAGGGACAAAAAGTCTCTAGAGAAAATAAAATCCAATATATCATGGCAGACTTCAACTTGCAATATAGTTCTCCATAAATGAGCACATGGGGCCTTGGATACTTGGGCACAAAATCAACATCATGTTACTGCAATAACTTTGCTTGTCCCAATAAATGAGTGACATGCACCAGATTGATTTAGCTTGAACTCATAAAAATACATAATGGTTCACTTGAGATTCCATTTAACCCTCAAATGGTCATTGGGGTCCAAAGAATTCCAAACCAATGGGTAAACCTGTGAAATCTCTTGGCTGACCACCTGTGGATTAATTGTGCAGATGTCACTCCCACAGAAACCCATTATGATAATGAATACCCTTATTTATATTGAATACCTATAGTGCATGTCACTTGATTGTCAATAGTGCTACATTATTTTTTTTTATAGGAATGACACACACTGAAGTAGATCAGATCAGAGAGAACTGTTTGTACATTGACAGAATGTTCTATTTTCTTTGAGTATTCAAACCTGATATTTTCAATTCTTTAGTAGAAATGGATGTGGAAGCATACACAACCATAGTCCAAGAAAGGAGGGATCCATATGATCAGGCATGCAGCAAATACAGATCTACTCAAATTTTTAACCCATAATGGTGTGTAGCCATCCAAAGTGCACATGTAGAGTGGCAATTAAATTGTCATAAAATATTCCACTATAGTTTTGAAAAAAGTGCAAACATGTGAGATAGGACCAGTGTCTTCATGCCTTTAATGCAACTAATTCCAATTCTAATTCTAATTTTGCCATGAACTGTGCAAAAATATGAGAAAACTATGCAATGCAAAAATTATGCATGTTGAAATTTTCCATGCATCCATGGTGTTATCTCTGAAGTTAGATTAGATGCTCACACTCACCACAAAAGAGAGGCACAACAAAGAAGCCCATGTTTCCTTTTGAGGGTTCAAACATCATGGGATACTTCTCCAGACGGAGAACCTCTTTGAAAACGAACAAGTGGAAATGACAGATCTTGTTGAGCTGGTCCTCAGATGTCACATTCTCACTGGAGAGGAACCGCAGGCTCACAGCCACTTCTCCCGATCGAGTGAAGATTGGAAACCCACTCACCTGAGAGATTCAATTAATGATTCAATTAATGCTTGCTCAAAAACTTCTACAGTAACAAGGTAATGATGGAATGAGTGCAGTCTACCTGTGGAATGCACTTAGAAGTGAGGATGCCCAAACTCTGCTGAGCATCTTCAGGGGCATAAATCTTCCTTCCTCGTGTATTTTGCTCTTCGGGAATGGGGCATGTGAGAGTCATGTGGATCTTATACAGGTACAGCTGCTTGCTGACCTCAGGGGTGCAGTCACGAAGGACTGATGCAACCTGCACACACAACCTTCATGTAAGTGAACCCCTTAATTTTGTCTTTGATGCAAGTGCTTGATTACCTCACCTTTTTGAAGTAGTACTGCCTCCGTTTTGTGGTGCCAGGGCGTGGGGCACCTTCAGAAATTGACTCCATCTCCTCCTGGAATTCAGCATCTTGCTTCTTGAGCAACTCCTGTGCCCTGATGGATTCCTTGCCTACAGGGTTTAGCTGATCATCTAGTTCACCTTCCTGATGAAGCATTTGACAGAGTTCCAAAGCTGCTCCAATTTTAGCCAAGGCTGGAAGAGGGAAGGCTGGACCCTGTCCAGGCAATCATGCACACCATGTAACTGTCAGTAACGTGAAATGGGGACATAATTTTTACTATATCATGAAGGATAATGGCCAGTTCCTTACTAAAATAGACTGCTTGAATGGAGAGTTGATAGGAAGGCGAATGCGACAGCGGAAGGACAACTTCTTTTGCCCATTTATACAGGATTCTTCCACTGACCACAGGGGTGTCAAGCGGGTGAATGTGTCACTGGGGAGTTTGGCACAGTACCTTCAAGTAACATGTTTATCTCCCTGAATCTGAACCCTCAAAGAATCTATACCATAGAGTATGATTGTAGTAAGTGATATCTAACTACAACAGCATACTTGTTGATGAGAGAGATGGCTTTAGAAGGCAAAAGCTTCCCATCAGGGTTGCTAGGAGGAGCAAAAGCAGGAAGGATGGTGTCAACATAACTCAGGTTTACTTCCTGATCAATTGGCACCTCTCTGAAGTGGCATCTCTCCAGCAGAATCTGAGCAATAACAATACTTGATGAATCAATCACATATGAGCTTAATAACAACTATAATAACAAAGGTCAAACAACAGTAATGACTGGTGCAGAAGGTTGTAGATTAGACTAAGTTGAGAGAAACTGCATAAGGAAAGTGTGCCTGTAGAAATAACTTTTGTTATTATGCTCCAGACTGACAGAACTCTATCCTCTTTAAAATTTACTTTAATTACACCCTTTTCCCATTTATTTTTATTTTTTCCTTTTCCTTGAACAACATGCATGATGGGGAACCATACATGGATCAGATGTCAGTCAGATGCTAAAAAAAAGTATACAAAAAAAAGTAAAAGATGTTCCCCGAGAAAACCTGAAACAAAGGTCTTCTACATATACCAGCAATGCAGTTGCACAGATGTAAGACCAAATTTATTACAATACAATAATCTAGCAAACCAATAACTGATTACTTGTTAGCAGCTAACTCTGATCAAAGGCTGACAGGCATGACTGAGGGAAAAAATGTGATGAATGAGGGTGCATGAAAGCATTAAGAGGAGGAGAAAATGATCACCCACTGATGCCAATCAATGGAGAAAGCACAGAAAAATGTCATACTAATAACTTGATATGGGACAGTCAGCATTAAGGATGTCATAATATTATATTGATAGTGTTCCTGATATCAGAGATTTTTATATCTGAAATGTGATATTGTAACGGCCCAGCCGGCACGACACCCAGTGAGTGGCCTAGCAGCACTCTATGAGTCGCCCAGGAAGGCCACAGTGTGTGCATGACCCCCTAGGTGTCACGCCTGACCTCTCACCCTGTACCCCAATCGAGAGATCTGTTTTAATAACCTTCTTTATGTCTTTGGTTCTCAGCCACCCCTCTTTTCATTTCCGTCTAATTTGTGAAGACTAGAGATAGAGTTATACTCCCATTGTAATACAGTAATTCGGCATCTGAGCGCCAAGGAATGATGGCATATACTACAAGACCGCACGCGCCTGAGGAGTGAGGTTCTCCCCCTTTTTTTCTAAGAGTGGAAGAGAGAGCAGAGAGCTGATTACAGCCCTTATCTTATATTCTTTTCGCTGATCGTCTACGGGCGATAAGCAGCAACTCCCTTTACCCTACGGGATTAGACACTCCCGTCGTCCTCATCCTTCTCGTCCCTGCGGGATTAGACATTCCTGCCATCCTCATCCTTCTCGTCCCTGCGGGATTAGACATTCCTGCCGTCCTTATCCTTCTCGTCCCTGCGGGATTAGACATTCCTGCCGTCATTATCCTTCCCGTCCCGATCCCCTGAACCTCCTCGTGAGTCGACGATCCCGATCCCGATCCCTATCGTCAGATTCCAGGATCTCTCATTGTTTGTTTTGCCGAGGACTGTTATTAATAAAACCTGCTTTGTATCAGCCCTGACCTATTGTGTTGTGATTCCCACCACCGGTAGAAGAGAACGCACGGAACCGTAACAATATTTTGCTCTCATATTTGAATATTATGTAAGTGCATGACAAGTGCTGATTTTTTATTGGCTGATTATTAGAGTGGTATAATACTGGAATATAAAATGATTGAAACAGTCTTAAAGGAGGAAGGGAGCAGTTACAAGATGGACAGACCTGAGCCATGACATGGTATTTGGCAATGAGACCCATGTAGTCATCCAGGGCATCTGCAGTGACAAGATGAAGGTAGTGAGCGTGAATGTTGCGACATCTCCCTTTTGAGTGAACATAGGAACTGAAGCTGGATGGCTGATCAAAGCGAATCACCAGGTTCGCACGAGGGATGTCCACACCTTCCTCTACCACTCCTGTTGCCACGAGGACATTGCATTCATGTCCACGGAACCTGTACCCATAAAGGAACTGGAGGTGCAAGGAAGCATGGGTAAATGCCAATGGCAAGATGCATTAAATAAATCTCACCTGCGCAGGACCTCCTCCTGTTTTCTATGTTCTGCCTCTGCTTCTCGAGAATTTGTTTCCCCTTTGTGCGTTGCTTCAGCAGTGAAAAGTGGGGAGAGAAATGCAAAGTCTGGATGTGTAAAGCTCAGATCCTGTAATGAATGATAAGTTGACTTCAGACAATAGTAATAATAAATAGCGGATTAATATTAGACAGAATATGACTCACTCGAAGATAGAGAAATAGAACTTTGGCCACCCATCGTCTCTCGACAAAGATCATACCACAGAGGCAATGAGGATTGTCTGGATCATACATGGAGCGCACATCAGGCCGCTCAGGTCTTCCTGTCTCTTCCTGAGCTCCGTCCCTCTTTCCATGTTCTGTCACATTGTTGATATCACAGACAACACTAGATTGAGATCCATCAGGGACCTCATTTGTTCCCTGTTTCTTCTCTAAAAGAACACTTGACTGACTCCCACAGTCATTTCCATTGGCCAATAGATCTTTTCTGTCTTCACAGCCACCATCATGATCAACAAGATCAAAAGACATTTCTTTCTCATTGGTGCTACAATCCATTCCTTCACTATCTGTCATTGACTTATTCTTGCCATTTTCTTCAGGCTCAGGTCGCACCATATCATCTTCACAAGCATCAATGGCTTCCTTCTTCTTCCATACCTCTCTCACTTCCAAATTGAGGTCACTTGATTTTGGCCCCTCACAGAGCTTATACTGATGGAAAATCTTGAGCAATCGCAAGAGCTTGTCAGTGGAGAAGAGGAACAGGCGTTCACGGTCTGAGTACGGCTTGAACACTCGATCCAGGATGGCTCTGTTGGGAAAAACTCATTTCACATCAGCAAGTCAGGAAAGGGAACACATGCCCAAGGAACCATAACATTAATAAATGCAAATATTCCATTGTGCTTACTTCTCTCAAGTTGGAATGCTATAGGCCCAGCCATGCTAAAGCAGTTTCCAGAAGGAATCAACTTATACAATACTGTGAAAAAAATTGCCAATGATATAAATTCATTCCCAAAAGAAGGGATTATTATTTAATTAAATCATTATTGCTGATTGTCTGAGAGTGAAGATAAAGAAGTGTTTCTTTGATAGTTTTGTAGTCAAAGGAAAGAATGAAACCTCTGAGAGCATGTTCCATAGTGATCCTGTTCTATGAAGGGGCATGCCTAATGCATTCCTCTTTTGAATTGCCAGATGTAAAATGATTGGATTTGCAAAAACCAATGCTCTGGTCAAATATGAGAAGCTTTCAAGTGGTGAATGCAGAGAACAATCATTGCTTGGAGGAGAAAAGAAAAGATCTAAGGAAAATAGAAGCAGTCCTGTGGGAATCAAAGAGGATGGATGGATCTCAAAATTATCTAGATTATTGATGCAAAATATTTGGGGGTCATCCTCCTTACAACACAAAGATAGAATGCATAAACACTTTCATTCCTAGGCTGAAGCAAGGGTCTTCTGGATTCCCTCTAGAGTCCCCTTAGTTATTGAGAAAGGAAAGTTGTGTGACTCATCAAACAACCTGATCTGAAGAAAGGTGGTGAAAACAAGGCAAAGAAGGAGGTAGTGACGATCATGAGGGGTTTTCTTCCTCAGTTTCTCTGTCTCAAACAGGATGTGCAAAGCTGCCTTGTCTGCACACCACAACCCTGGTCACACAACACACATACAAGTCTCACACATGGTGTGGTCTATCAGCAATCAGACTAAGCCCTGAATTTAGCAAGCCTACCTAAGTTGTCCAAAATGTAGAGGAATTCCCGGAGAAGCCGCTTGGGCTCTGTATTGGGATCGGGAATGTCAGCGTAATATTCATAAAATTCTTCACCATATATGATGCTGGGATCATAGACATGATCTTCCACCCATGCCAAATTGGATTCCACCAACTTCTTAATCTGGGCACGAACTTCTTTGTGCTCCTCATAAGTATGGCATTCCAGGATATACTCCTGACATTTTGATGAAACCCTGTGAACAAAGGAGAGAATCTGATACCTAAGCATAATCAGATTGCTATTTGTCCTATCTCTGGGTGTCACGTTGAATACTTTATTATATTCAACTGAAAGACTAAAGCAAATCATGTACATGCAACATTAAGCATGTTCATGATCAGCATCCTGCCTTTTACTGAATTAAAAAAATATATACTTTAAAAGGGGGAACCTTTTGGAATTATCAGTGTCAAGGTCAAGAAGGTCAGAGTTAGAGGTACCAGTAGTTTATTTTCTATGAAGCTGGAATTTTGCAGTTATAGTGTAGTGACAATATGCCTGTTTTAACTTCATGAATTTTATAAAACACAAAGAATTGCAAAACATGACATTTTGCTGTTATGCTCTATATTTCATTCAATTAGATTCTCAATAAAATTATGATTAAGGTCTTAAGCTCAAACAGTTCTAATACACATTCCAATACAACCTGAAAACTTCACCCCTCTTTAACTTTGAAACCATTGAGCTTTGCATGTGACTGATTCAACTGAGTTGAAATTAAAATTATGGAGTTTTTCAGCAAAAGTTATCCAAGGATTCATATTCATTCAAACTCAGAGATTGTGCCATGCATAAGTCCAATGTGCTCATGAACAATCATGGAGTGATGTGGTACTAACTCCAATAGTGTCTCCTGCATGAGTATAATTGAAAAAAGTGATCAGTATGAGACTCACCGGAGGACAGAGGTGACATCACTAGCTGACTCTACAGAACAATGAATCCCTCTTTCCAGATGGATGATGCAATCCTGGATTTGATGAGGTTCACTGTCCTTATTGAGGATGTTGGCAGTGAGTCCTAAGAGTCGTGGTCGATTCCCTTCTGGACATATCTCATACAGCTGCATTACCTATTCACATTGGATGAAGAGAGAGCATTAAAAATGAAGGAGTGAAGGCATGGGAAGATCCTCAGATCATACTCCTACCTCATCCAGGGGTGAACCAGGCATAGCATCATGGCACTCATCTACTACCAAGAGGCATAAATCTTCTATTGAAAGAACCCCTTGAAGGTTCAACTCAACAAACACTTCTGAAGGCATCAGCACAATCTGCAAGATGAAGAGCTATGTTCACCAGCCACCCTCACACCTTTCTCAGAGCCAGAGAAGTTCCATACATAAATTTAAAAAACTTACATGACATCTTATGAGCTTGGCAATGAGTTCCTCATTAGAAATGCTATCTGAGTCAGGGCGAAACCAGGAGACATCAACTGGGCACAAGTTCTGTATGCACTGGAGGAACTGCTGACATGATGATTCATTGCTGCTCAAAAACACCATTTTCCAGCCCTTTCCAGTATTTGGTCTATCCCAGTAAAAAAACAAAACAATTTCACTTTCAAAAAATTAAATATGTATCAAAGTCAACTAGTTCACCAACCAAATCAAGACAAACATGAATTTAGGAGCATCTTACTGTCACCTGGAGATGAATGCATGGGAAACACCTATTTAGGGAGCCTTGAGTATAACAGCTTATTAAAACTAAAATAGGGGAGGATGTGAAAAATCTTAGTTCTGGAATGGAATCCTCACATCAGGTGTCATTTCAGATGAGTCTCTTGAGATGCTATTAAGGGCAGTAGGGTAAGTGGCATGAGTTTAGGAGCAAGAGAGTAAATTTCTTGGTGATGTTATTCTCTCATTTGAACAGAGTGGTAATTTTAGATCTAGTGAGCAAGATGATCTATTTTTGACAGGATATGTTGTACATTTACGTTGATTCTCACCTTTGTGTTATTTTCATAGAGAGTTATGAAAGGTTATTGTAGTGGAGTACCACCATCGGGCAGCATATTCATTTTAGCCCTCATTTTAATATCTTCAGTAAAGGCTTTGAAAAACTTCATGGTATGTAGCACATATATTTTTTTAGCAAAACTTTCCTCAGAAAGGACACAGATTTCCTGTTTTAGTGAGAGAAAAAAAACCAGACCCAATATTTTGACCTCATGACACACAAATGTCTTGTCCATGGATGATTAAGCTCATCAGAATTGAGTTTCATGGGATTTTCAATTGCCCAATCTTCAGGCTGAATGGATGCTAAAGTGGAAATGGTGGCAGATTTTAGATGGGAAAAAGTTTAGGTCTTTTGTTTGATAACTAAGTAGATCATCACTCCTCCTTCAGGGTTGTCAAGAATCATGGTTTTGAAAAGAAACAGAGCTAAAATGGTTGGTATATGATGCTTGTGAAATGTATATATGCAAAGGCAATTCAAAGCTCTATTTAAAAATGATGCTTCTCCCAATTCACAGCACAACTGACCTTCGAGACATATGGAGCAATTGCTGAATGATGCTGAGTACAACAAAGGACCTAGCTGTTGCAGAGCCATTACAGATAATGATGTTTCTTCTCAAGCAGCAGTCCACCAACTCTACCTGAAAGAAAACATGACAGAATATATCTTCAACAAGAAGCTTATGAATATCTAGATCAGACAAAGGCTAATCTCCTCAAGGCTGGTTTATATGAAACTAGGGCATCTAAAGCAGGAAAACTTCAAATACCTAGAACAAAGACAAAATTTGCAGAACAAAATATCACACAAGAAGGACTAAGAAAATTTAATTTACTGCCGAGGATATAAGGGCTGCAAAATCAATTCAAATCTTTAAAGCTAAATTATTAAATTATTTTCAAGAAAAGAATCCACAATAGAAAACAGCTCCTTTCAGGCTGGTTAGACTGACCAGATTCCTGAAAAATAAAATAAATAAATAAAAGAAATCACACAAACAAACAAAAAAAGGCAATACATTTAATCAATTAAATAATATTCTTTTTTTTGCATTTCAACCCGGCCATCCAGGATGAACCCAATTGGGTTCAATGAATGGCCTTATTGCCACTATTTGCTGCTGCTTCTTCTTTTTTTATTTCCTCCTCTCTAACTTCTATTTATTTATTTATGCATGGTCTTTCATTTTCGTCATTGTCTTTACCTTCATCTTTGTTACTTATCTGTAAATATGTGGAAAATATATCCTATCCTACTCAATATAAGGACAGTCCAAGATGGCAAATGTGAGAATGAAATCACCTGATATTCCCTTGGGGTGAAGATGTTTACATGGAGATTCTCATTCATCTGATGCCATGCCACTCGAAGTGGCAAGATATGCTTTAACTTCACATCCCTCTTTACCTTACAAGACATTTTGGTCCCAGGCATGGGTCATCCAAAAAAAAGGACACCCTAGTGGCTATGCCTAGCCTCTACAGTCCATTCTCAATCAACATTGAGCACATATCTAATACTTCTGCAAAAGAATGAATCACACATTACATGCCAGAAAACCATACTTCTCCAGGGCTACTCAAAAGTAGGGGAGTTCTTGTCATTTTGCTTGTACCTTTCCTAGAAAATAACAAAATCAAACATGTTCTCTGTGAGAGAGAAGACATAACATTCCCTTTCTCATAAGTGAATTTTTAAATAAGAAACTGTTTCATAGGTGATTCCCAAATTATCTGTACCAAAAAAATATTGGTTCAATGAACCAATTAAGAAATGGTACAGCAGAGATATAGTAAAAGGCTCTATTTGATAGACACTAAAGCTATTAAGTCATTTGTATGAAAATTGATCTTGCATGATTTGAACCCTGTCAGAAGTGGAAAGGTTTCTTGAGCATATGGAAAGAGTGATCTACCAGGTGATCATTTCAATTCTCTACATTAGAGAGTTGAAGATGAAAGATGTCCTGGCTTAAAAACACAATTAGTAAAGGCAGCAGCTATTTGTGCAAGATAGTGCTATTAGCTATGGGGCAATACCTGTGGCATAGTCAATCTATGGTGCATGAACATTGGCATGTGAGGGGTTTCCCCATGTCTACCATTGGCTCCTTACTCATCCATGAGGTAGCTCAGTGGAATATAACTTGAGTCTCAATACTGACTGCCACAGGTTCATTCATTCCACCTCTATTTTTTTAAATAACAGGTAGGCATGAGGCAGTCACTTCAACTGTGATTGGTGGAGTTAAGTAGCCCTCAGGTTTGGTTTTATAAGAGTGGTTTTATTTTTCAAGTTATCCCCTGGCGGCAGTAGCTCAGCAATGCCTAGCCAGGCTTAGGAGGCATCTATTCTCTTCTGTTTGAGGGTTTTGGCTTTCCAATGAGACAGAAAAATATATTTAGACATAGGATCCTAACGTATGTTAGGCTGGATCGAAAAGGGAACGTATAGTCCAGGCGAAAGAAAATTATAGTGAACAACAGACTATGCCACGGCATACTCAGGTCTTCCTCGTGAATGCGGCCATGTCTACCAGCTACGCCAGCAAGTATGGAGCTTGCCATTTAGGCTTGCGGAACCTCTCCCGCAACGCGGATAATGCCCTTCTGCATGTCGGACCTCAGGACCAGCAGCCGTGTCGGATTTCCTGCGTGGACTCCTCATTCCCCACACTAGACAGCTTTTTTCTCGTCTTATCAGAAGGAGCAACTTCTTAGGCTTGTTTATTTTCCTGTTTCACGGTGTGTTTATTCCAGGAGCGTAGGTATTGTTTTGAATAGGAAATGAGAGGTAAAAATAACACGTGCTTGGTGTGGTGCCGTCAAGGCGATGCATCAACCATTGCTCATCATTCTTTTGACACGGGAAAGCATGGCGCATGATGTGTCGCATGGTTACTGGTGTAGTGTCCACTAGGCTTTGCCCTGGGGGAAAGTAGTTTTCGCTTACATCTTTGGGGCCAATAGTCGTGTCGTGCATTCGAATAGACTTCGTACCCTCCGATTTCACGTTGTAGGCCCTTCTGCTTTTCCCGGTAGACCTTACGTCCGCTAGCATTACGACTTTCGCCTTACCCTCAATGAGTAGGTTTGACAATCCAGGTACCGAGTAGGTTAATCTAACCCAACTTTACTGTGACCAATTTGCATTCGGCAAGTGGGTAGCCGAGGGATACTGATTCTAACCTCTTGGTGCAGACCTTTGGTTGGTAAATATTAGTAACTAGACTGTTAGTGCTAGAATGTGACATTTTCACTTTTCTATAAACTTATGTTTGGTAAACCTCATCTAAATGCAAGGAATGGCTGCTAGAAATTGAAAACAATATTAGGGAAGGCATGCAAGATCTGTGATTCACTCTCAGGACAAGGTTGGCTTTTTAAGGTATGGATTTATTCCCTGTGCAGTGACCTGACCACAGTGACCACACCTGAGCCCTGCTGCTTGGTGGTTCTATTATTGTAAGAGACATTATTATTAATCTTCCAGCAGTCCACCAGCTGTATCTACTTAGATGATAATCTGGAAGGTTCAATGCACAACAACTTGATGTTTCTGCAGAAGACAAAAATAAGATGATAAGGGAAAGAAAAAGCAATGAGGCCTAGAATATGCTATTAGCAAAATGGAGGTTATGTTTGAGATATGGGATGTGACATTTCTCTGAGCAGCTATGCTGGCATTTCCAGCATTCGTGGACATCATATTCATGCTAGCTTGTTCAATTCTCTCATGGCTTACTATGCTAAACTTGCAGCTACTTGCCTAACTGACATTGTTTAACCTTTATTGTACCAGTGGGAACTTAAGGTCATAGGAGTTTCAGCATCGCCTATATTTATTCCTCTATATTCTATATTTGTAAATTAGAAAGTCAGTGTAACCTTATTTAAATGTCCTAAATTAAATTGATCTGCCAGCCCTTATAGCTTGGATTTATATACAGTACAATAAAGGTTAATGACATGGCATTGTCATGTCAAGCATTCATGAAAAGATATGCTTTTGCCAGCAGCTACAAGTAACTGGAGAGAAGATGACCCCATGCTCCTTCAATGGTTCTGCCATTGGTATAATCTTGCATAGATTATGCCATTGAATATCAGAAATATATATTCTTAAGCAGCCTAATTTCAGCTTGTGATGTGCTTAAATATACAAAGGGAAGTGAGGGTTTAGAACTAATTCACAGGCTGTTAGTCTCAGCCCTGTTTATAATTACCTTTTGTATGTTTTCTCTTGAAATGCCTCACATCAAAGTAAGGAGTAAACCACAGGTGCTATTGTGGGTCAGTTTAGCTAGGAGTCTGTCATGGTGGAGTTATGGAGGCTTTTGGTAGTCCTGTGAAAGAAAATTTGTTTAGAACCTCTAATCTAAGACCATTCTTGCTTGGTGGAATAACTCCACTATGCATGAGAATCTTTTCTGGAAGTAATTCTCTTTTCAGAGTCCTTGTAGATGGAGTATGTTGCTTATGTAGGAATATGAGCTGATGGGTATGGGTCTACACTTAAAATGTTCCAAATGCAGCCCTTTCTCTCTCATATACACAGTTGACTTCACTTATTAGAATACCACTTAGTGGAATATGCCATTTAATAGAATACCATTGTGTGTGGCTCAAATTATTAGATGCATTATGAAAGGCATCACATGAAGCAATACAGTTATTAGAATAACCCACTTAAAGGAATAAACTTTTTTAAAAAATGAAATAAATATTATTAATAGCTAAAAAAAAGTGTTTTCTGTGTTCTCATAAAGTGCCCAGTGGTCCTTGCTCCATGGAACCAAGGTCATGAGAAGCTGCCACTTGACCTTCCCCTGAACCAGAGATGGGCTGGAGAGGTCTCATGTAGAGTGGAAATCAGGTTTATGTCCATTCATAGGCTTGGGTAATTTTTATTTGAATTGAAAAAACTGCTGATATTTATGGAGGATAGTCTACCCTAGAAAAGCGTATGACAAAAAATCTTTTAGTTTAGATAAAAGGTCAAGGGTTACATGAAATGATTTATTGGTCTAATCTGTCCCTTTCAGGAATTTCATGTTGAGATCTCTTGTTAATTGACAAGTTTGGGATCCAACCAGTGAATTATGTCTCAAGAACAAAAGGACAATGAGGATGACACCATCCAGGAGGGATGGGTTACATTTGAAGATGAAAAGAATTCAAAACAGTCTGGTAATGGTGCTTCATCTTCTGTCCAAAGCTCTGCGGACCAAGACCCACATGAGAAAGACATAGAATACAATGGTGCTGTCATTGAAGCTGAAACCGTCCAAGTTTCCGTCCCCAAGCAGTTGGAAAGTGGAGTGTCCCATGATAAGTCTAGTGAGAAGCCAAAACATGGACCCCAGCATGACTTGAACTTACAGGACATACCTCTTGATAACCATAACCATCAAGCAGATGGTCATGGAGGTAGTGAAGCCTCAAAACATCCATCAAGAGACTCTCATGGTTCCTTTGCAAATGGAGATGTCATTGTCACCCTTGTACCTTTGAATACAAGATGGGCATGGATCACTCCTGCTGCATTCCGACCAGATCTTGTTCCAGAAGAATTAATGGCTCAGGGTCTCACTCTTACAGTTGAGGAATATGTTCATGCTATGGAGATCTTGCTGAATGACTTCCGATTCACCCTGTATAATATCTTGTATAAGCGCATCCTTGTTGCTTGGATCACCACAGGGTTTATCATTCTTCTTTGCGTTCTGTTCTCTGGACTGCGGCAGCTGGAGCTGTTTGGCGTTGGTATTCTTTGGCTGATTCTCAATGCCTCAGCCATATTTTTCTGCATGTGGATAAAAGTAAAACTCAATCGAAACATGGAAAGATGTGTGGCAAGTGTTAATAAGCTCTTCATACGACACAATATCATCTTGGGCATTGATGACAGAGGAAAATTTTCTTGCCACAAAGTGAATATATGCTACATTTATTTTGATGTCAGGGACTGCCTCAAAAAACTGAAAGAAGTGATTGCCAGAGAAGAAGCATCAGGAAATGTTGTGAATAGTGAGGAAAAGAAAGGCAAGAAAGATCAGAGATCCATTAATCAAAGAATGGATATAGAAGATCAAGATGTTGTCATCACTGGCTCCTCCAATCGAAGAATCTCCAGGAAGCAAGATAAAGCAGAGCGCTTGTTGCTCCGTTATTCCCAACGCTGGGCTAAGGATTTCCTACGAAAGCGTCTGGATTGGATCGTAGATGTCCAAGGTCGACTGGAGGGAATCGTTCGAGCAAACCAGCCACGACATATGGTTTCTGCTCAGTGTCCATGCCAATACATTGAAGACCATCTTCATTATAAGCCTTTGAAAGAGAAACAGAATTCCTTAAAAAGTTGGTGGCATGGATGGATGTCTGAGGGGGCACTTGATTAGGCTAAAGTAGGACTAAATTTTTATGGACTTGCGAATTTAGGCAGCTTCTCTGGTTCTGGGATTCATACATATTGACACAGATCATGCTGACGTGCAAGTCATTGCATAATATCTATCCGTCCATGAGTGCTTCTCAATTGATCTGTGCCTATTCTGTGCCTGCCTGTAGTTCAAGACTTGGCTTTGTTTTTTTTTTAAGCATGTATTTCATCCTATTCAGTTTCATTGGATAGTTGCATGTTTTCATGTGTGGTACTTAGAGAGTTAGTTTTTTTTTGCTGTTTCTTTTCATATCCAAGAAGATAACTCCAGAAGTGTGAGGCAGTCATGAGACAGGAAATCCATACCTGTGCTTCATTGGGCACTTAGGTCACAATGAAACTTCTATCCAATAGTGAGACATCTTATAGGCTAGAATACTTGGATTGATACTTTCTCATGCATTACTTCCATATAAGATGTAATGCTAGCCTGTTGAAATAATTTTTCTTGGATAGTACAGTATGGTTAGATAAGGAATATAGAATTAGAATCATAATTTTCTGTTATTGTCCAATCTATGACATTCCAGTAAAAAGTTACAGGGTTGAATTTGGGGTAGATGGAAAGAGACAAAGTCATGAAAGGGGGAAGGGCCATACTCAGTGATTTGCTGTGCACTTTTTTTTTTCATTGTTTCTTTTTATTTTTCCTCCAATGTAAAAACCCTGAGACTTTTTCCTGGAATGCTATGAATACAATCTATGTTCAGAATGAAATGCCACAAAATTTGACTCATGAAAAACAGTCTTTATCCTTATCATGAAGAGATTGAAGTCTTCTGCAAAGCAGCTTTGCAACTACTAGTCCTTCTCATGTTTTATATTACTCATGCCTGGTTGACTGAGTGATATATGAAAACAGTTTTTATACAGTATAAAAGCACATGATAAGTAAAATGATTTTAGGACATGCTCAATACCACAAATTATGTTGATCTATCTACGAATGCTGAGTGTTCATCTCCATGAGATTTAATTGCGCCTATACTGGTTTTAGGCCTATTTCCAATGAAAGTGTTGATGTAAATAGGCCTTGTCCACTATGTCATAGAGTATACTGGATTTTTCATTCCATTGAAGAATCTGCAAACATGTCATTCTTATCAATGCAAAATATCAAGTGTGCCTCATGAGGTAATGGGAAGTTTTACCATAGATTGCATATTAGATAATTTTTAAGCACAATTTATTCTGGTTGTCATTTTCAAATTTGATATTTCAATGATAGTCCTGATTATATACTTCATGGACAGCTCCATTCTTCTAAATGTGCTACTTGACATTGATATATACATCAGTCACAAAAAATCTTATATTGGCACTTTTACATTGCATTAGTTGGAAGTCAGCTATATATACCAGATATAGTGTTATCCATCTTGACTTCAGTGCTATTCCTCCTAAATGTTCAGTGTCCATATATGGACTCTGGAAAATTTTTGCAAACCTGTCTACCAGGATGGTGTTATGTTATGTGGGAGGTCATGATCATAAGTTTGTTGCATGTGGCCGAGTTTGAACCCCATTTGGAACCTGACATTCAGCTTTCTGATTGTCTTTGCCTTTTGCTGCAAGAAAAAATAGTAAAGCTCCTTTAAAGTGGGGTGTATGTTCTGGTG